AGGGGCACTCAAAGGCCGACAAGGGACACTAAAAAGCCGGTGTGGGGCTCTTATGGACAGAAGTGTGGCTCGTCGGAGCACATAAGGTGTTCTTCCGAGCCCTGTGGGACCCTTCTGAGTCGAAAGATGCCAGCGTGGACCCTCAGCCGCCAATTGGCGTCGCAAGGCCCCTCTGGCCCGAGAGGCCCCCTGATCCGATGGGGGCACGTGCCCCTGCTTCCCCTCCCCCCGGGTGCAGATAGAGAATGCAATCGGCGGTGCGGAACACAACAATTGCAATCGTTCCTCCTCCCGTCGCGAGGTCGCCCATCCGACCCATATCCCATGATTGTTAACCCTGGGGCTCGGGTCGGCAATGTACCGGCAAGGAAATCAGCTTTAGGTGAGTAAAAAAGTTATTAAGAGTCATTAGTTGTCGTTACGTTCGTCGTTCAGTAATAGCAACTATACGGTGCCAAATGTACCCGACGTACAGCTTGGAGCTGGGCGCCGCCCGGTCTCCACCAGTGAAGTTACGCTAATGCTTAGCGACCGGTCCATTGGAAATCGCGGGATGATTCTACCTCTCTTATACGGCCTTGGTTTCAATGGCCGGGGATCCCCGGAAGGGCGGGCGCCGATTCCGCCCGGGTCAGCCTAACATCCAGGCTCGCACGTCCGCCTCGGCTCCGACAGGTCCAGCACGGCGACTACGCGAATGTGAATCATGAATGGGTGGTGGGCGGCGGATGGTGCCACAGGGGAGGGGGAGCGGAGGGGATTAAAGCTGACACTTATGTTGCTTGTGATAACTCGCCTCGCCTCCCTGGGTTCCGCCCAGGTCCAGGGATGGATTATCTTCTCCAGCTTTAGCTTAAGTCTTACATTTGATTTTTTTATCAATATCAGTATTATTAGATCTGAGGGCAGGGCAAGGAACAGGACTAGATATGCACAATTTTCCCGAAATCCGGGCCCAGCACCGAACCGGCAGCAGCACCGAAGGGGTCCTTAAAGGGACCCTCCCACCTTAACATTAGATTTGAGTTGAGATAGCCAAAATGGGGTCCCTGGCTCACAATTACCGGTTTCGGCACTCACAACATCGAGAAATGCCTTAAATCGGAAATATTGAATTTCAAAATTGCAGCATTTTGATTCAGAGGGGCTAATGCTTAGGAATACCCCTCTGAATGTGTGACGTCAGCGCAAATATCTAACGATTTTTAAATGTTTGACTAAAACGTTTTGTAGCACGCGGTGGTATATGCTATTTGCGCGCAACATCTGCCGCAAACGCCGCACTTCTAAAATAAAGTCGCTAGAAACAGCGGAGATCCCAAAAAAGTAAACAAAAGTAAAAGTCTAATATCTTGAAAACCGGTGAATATTTTTCGGTGAAATTTGGTAGATATTCGTTTTCGCTCTTTCTGAACCGAGCGACATCACTTTCATGCCAATTCATAAACTTTTTTGAAGGTGGGAGGGTCCCTTTAAGACGGGAAGACAACAAGGTATCGGGTTTGAGGGCACTGGGCAGGGCAGAGAGGGTCACAGGGCCTGAATGCAGAGCAGGGCGCAAGGCCTGAAGGAAGTGCAGGGCAAGGTACAAGACCTTAGGACAGGGCACTGGGCAGGTCACATATCCTAGGGGTATAGTAGGGCACGGGACATAACAAGGTGTACGACCCCAGGATAGGGCAGGGCACAAGGACTGGAGAGCGCATGCATGTGCTTAGGTGCATAGTAAATCAGGGCACAAAGCAATCAGAAAGGCAACATCTGTTGCATAGTAAAAGACCGAGGCATGCTAATTATTATTGCTTGCACTTTTCCACTGAAACCGTGACATTTCAGTGTGGGACGCAGTGGTCCAAATTTCGCGAGTGCTACGTCCCAAAGGCAGGGGGCTCAGTGGCGGCGGAACAGGGGGTGCAGGGGGTGCAGCTGCACCCCCATCGAAAAACATGGGGGTGCAAACATATCTTTTTGCACCCCCAAAATCTGTACAAGGGGCCCGTCGCACCATCCAATACATTTTCTCCCGAAAACCAGTGATCGGGAAACGAACACTGATGTGGAATCATCCGGGATGTCCAATTATAGCCAGGAGCGCCCCATGCTAGTCTTTAGGGCCCCCACACCGGCTAGAAGTGTCCCGAGCCGCGTTTAGTGCTCCATGCGGCATCTCAGGGCCCACACGACGGCCTCAGAGGGCCCTTTTATGACGATCTCTGAGGGCTTCCACGACGACCTCTGTCCCCTGGGGCCCTACAACGGCCACTAAGGGCCCTCATGACGACCGCTGAGGGTCCCACAGATACTCTAGGGCCCCAAGGAGACTCCAGGGGCCACGCTGGCCTCTGAGGGCCCCTATGACGGCCTCTGAGGGCCCTTACGATGATCTCTGGGGCTCTCACGGCGACCTATGTCCCCTGGGGTCCTATAACGACCACTAAGGGCCTTCATGACGACCGCTGAGGGTCCCACAGGACTCCAGGGGCCCGCTGGCCTCTGAGGGCCTCTACGACGGTCTCTGAGGGCCCTCGTGACGGCCCTAGACCCAACTCAAGTCTGAGGGCCCATTTGGCTTCAGACGGCCCAGCGACGGCCTCTGAGGGCCCCAACACAACCAGGCTGCAGGGGCTATGCTGGCATCTGAGGGCCCTGCAACGGTCTATTGAGGGCCCTAACGATGGCCTCTAACGGTCTTACCAAGGCCTCTGAGAGCCCTGCAAAGGTATCTGAGGGCCCATGAAGACTCTCACAATGGCCAAGGACCCTCATGACGACCTCTGATGATCCTTCCGAAGGCTTCTAAGGGCCATCACAACAACTTCTGAGGACCCCAGGACGACGGTCCCTGAGGGGCTGAGGGCCCTGACGACGACCTCTCTGGGCCCTCATGATGGTCTCTAAGATGATGATCATGATGGTCTCTAAGGGGCCATGCTGACCTCTGAGGGCCCTCTTGACGGCTTCTAGGGCCTAAAGAAGGCTTCAAGGGCCAACGCTGGCCTCTGAAGAACCCTACAACAGCCTCGGAGGGTCTCAACTCAACGCAGGCAGGTGCCAGGAGACATGCTGGCCTCTGAGGGTCCCGCAGAGTTCAGATTCAGAGGCCCCAACGACCTTTGTGGACCTTACGAAATACGAAGGTCTCCGAGAGCTCACGCAGGCTCCTGGAATTCCACACTGATTCTCAGGCCCCATGTCGGCTTGTTGAGGCACTTTATCTGCTCTTGGTGCCCCGTCGCCGGCCTCTGAGAGTCTCAATGTCGGAACTTATTAGGCCATGGGCCCTACACCGGCTTTTATGGCCCCTACATCGACTCTTGGGACTCATGACCCATGAAATGTGGATCTAAGCGGCTTCTAAGAATCCCCATGCTGGTTCTAGTAGCCGCCAGCCGAATATTTGGGCTCACACGCGAGCTCCTGGGACCCCTTGCATACCCCAGGGGTCTACCAGCCTCTAAGACCCCACACATACTTTTGGGCTCAAACGCTTGTCCCTGAAGGCCCCACTGAGACCCCTTTCCTCTATTCAGTCCTCCATACCGGCTTTTTAGGATAAACATCGGCTCCTGTTGCCTCCATCCCGGCTTTAGAGGGCCTCCATACAGGCATTTTTGGGGGCCGATGCCGGTTTTTTGAGAGCCCTCAAAAGACTTTCGAGCCTATACTGCCTTCTGAAACCTTTCAGCAACTTTAAGCTCATTCAGTCTGGGGAGTCATGTAAGTCTCTGGAGAAGTCTCTACGTGGTCGGTTTCCAAGGGGCTTCTAAACACGGTCTCCTTGGAACGGTCTCGTAGGGCCCTCAATGGTCCACTGCGGATCCAGAAAAGTGGCTTGAGACGCTGCGGGTGGTGGCTAGACTTAAAAGGTTTTTCAAAATCTTCGTTTTTCATAAATCAATAATAATCACTAAAAAAAATGAAGGGGGCCCACAACTTCCAGAGGGGCCCCTTGAGAAAACTTTGCACCCCCATCCAAAATTACCTTCCGCCGCCACTGAGGGGGCTGCGTCCCAAAATGGGACGCAGTCAGTATGTTAAAATATGCCCTGGCGCCCAAAAAGGGGGCACGACCCCGAATGACCTGCCGACCACTGCTGTAGAGCATCTAATGTATTTACAAATGCTCATGGAAATGTGCTAGCAGTGGGTGGTGACACTGTGTCATGTGTGAAATCAGGGACGTCAATGCTGGCGAAAATAGCAAAGTTTATTGTCAAAGCTTTATTGTATTTTATTTTCATGTCTGCTGAATTACCCACACTGATGATGAGCTGATACCCACAACAAAAGTTTGTTGAAGTGTTGATACCACATTTGATGGTGGTGACCGCTATGCTTATTAGTCCTAACGTGCTGCAGTTACCCCAAGGCCCTAGGGGTGAGGGGTCGGGGGCAGAATGACGTTTGTCACGTGATCGACACCGGCACGTGATGGACACGTGTTCTTTGAGTCCACTCCGTGGTCGTGTCGGCCACCGCGCTGACAGACCGACGTAAAGGTCACTCAGGCTAGAGACGGCTTCTATTAGCAATCGCTATCGATAGATTACCTACATGATGTGTGGTGGAGGCGAATGGCATTTTAGAGGTGTCAAACTGTAAAGCCAACGAAGATCATTAGTAAGAATAGGATAGATAGCAAGCAAGCTAGCATTTGTGCTTGCTCCCAAAAAACGATAATGCCTGTGACTTTTAGCAGTGTTGACACTTCAACCAAACAGTACTGATTCGCTTTCACTGTGTTTGAAAGGAACATAAACCTGTGACGCTCTTCCCAATCTCGGAACTCGGAAGCTCCCTAGAAGTGTAGAAGTTATCGGAACAACATCCCATTTATAGTCGCATTCCTGAGCAATAAAATATGCAGCGTCATTTGAGTTCGGACTGCATCAGCTCCCTATGTAAATATCGCCCGCAGGGCGTGACACGCTGACACATTTCTCCAACCCCAGGCCCTCGAATCTCCGCCGCCGCTGACCTGTGCCCATTTTCTTCGGCAGAACTCCGCCCGCCGCGCGCCGCGCCAGCTGGTCGTGGCAGCGATGGAGGTGTCGGCGCCCTCCTCGCTCACCTACCGGGTGTTTTTCGCGGCGCGGGACGGCCTGACGATCACGCTGTACGCCCTGCTGGCCGATAAGCCGCCGGACGCGGTGCGGCGCGCGCTGAGTCAGGCCGTGGAGGACGGCGGCCAGCGCTGCGCCGCCCTCCTGATCGCCGCTCGCAACGGACACAACAAGACTGTGAAGATGCTCCTGGAGAAGTTCAGGGCCGATCTGGAGCAGGAGGGGCGCGTCAAGTTTGACGACTTCATCATTGATGGTGCCAGCCCGCTGTGGTGTGCCGCCGGTAAGAAGGGAGCGATGCTGGAGGAGGGAGCTGGGAGGGGAGATGCGGCATACGGGTGTAGTCAATGGTCAGTAATTGACCGAATAGTCCGAAGCGCTTTGGTAACTGATTTTAGTTGAACCCGGCCACGACAAAAATTACTAACATCATTGTCATTATTGCAAAAGTTAACGGTGGGTTGTAAAAGATATCTTGCATCTAAAAGTTTCCGGAGAGGCTTCCAGACCCCCAGTGTCTTGTTGTGTGCTATCTTGTGCTGTGTTTCTCTGTGGCCACCTCATTAATGACGTCGGTGAAGTTCACCTCTCCTCCCGTTTGCTCCCCTTGCCGCGGTGCTAGGCGCCGGTCATTTCGCCGTGGTGCAGACCCTGGTATCGGCCGGTGCGGATGTCAACCACCCGACGGCCACGTTGTCGACGCCGCTGCGGGCCGCCTGCTTCGACGGCCGGCTGGACATTGTCCAGTACCTGGTGGAGCACGGCGCCGACATCCACCTGGCCAACAAGTACAACAACACCTGTCTGGTGAGGGACGATCGGACCGCAGGGACGGGGCTCATCGGCCAGAGTGGTATAACCATAGGTAGGCGGCGGAACGGGGAGGGCACCGTGCCCCCCTTTGATTTTGGCATTTTAACGTTAGCCCTATGGGCGTTGCATGGAAAGAATGGGACCAAAAGTCGGCAGTGCCCCCCCCCCCTTGATTGAAGGTGTTCCGCCTCTACCGGGTATAACGATGGCTTTGATGACTGTACAAAATGGATGCTGTGGGCGACTTTGTTACGTAGATAGGATATGTTGATATTTGATCCTGGATGCTTAAACCTCTGTATATACCTATGCACCTCTCGGTGTGCATACAGAGGTCTATGCTGGATGCGATCTTTTTCTCGCGGCACTCTATCGAACAAAGTCCTGTTACGTACCTGTATCGGGATTAGGTCTCATTTCCGCAATTGCGGGATTAGGTCTCATTTCTTTAATTGCGCTCTAGCTTACAGCTGAGGCATTCATCGGCGTTGTGTGCTGGACCTATTCACACAGTTTCCGGTATTGCGACGCACCCCTGTCCCTCCGTCAGATGATATCGGCGTTCAAGGGCCACGACGACATCGTCGAGTACCTGGTGTCGCGCGGCGCCGAGCTGGACCGTCGGACCAACTGCGGCGCCACGGCGCTGCACTTTGCCGCCGAGAGCGGGCACGTGTCTATCGTGCGTCTGCTGCTGGCGCGCGGCGCCTCGCTGCTGCCCAACGAGCTGGGCCTGACGCCGCCGCTGGCTGCTGCCGAGCGCACGCAGGAGGCCGCTGTCCGGCTGCTGCTCGAACAATGCCCGCTCACCGTCGCCGAGCGCATCGACGTGCTCGAGCTGATGGGAGCCACGTTCGCCAACGACAAGGACAACTACAGCCTGGAGCGGTCCTACGAGCTGCTGCGGGAAGCGATGGTACTGCGCGAGGCGCACGGCGTGCCCAAGCGGCCGGGCTCGCCGGTGGCCGCCTACCAGAACCACCGCGAGTGCACCAGCCTGACGGAGCTGGAGGCGGCACGCGCCCAGCCCGACCTCCTGCACATGGAGAGCCTGGTGATTCGGGAGCGCGTGCTGGGCACCGCCAACCCGGAGATCCCGCACTCGATCATATACCGCGGCGCCGTGTTCGCTGACAGCGCGCGCTTCGACCGCTGTCTCGAGCTGTGGCAGCGGGCGCTCACGCTCAAACAGGCCACACGCACCTCGGCTGCCAAAGATCTGCTTCGGTTCGCCCAGGTGAGCGTTACATACAGGGACTGTGGAGTCACTGGGCAGGAATGCTAGCCTACTAGCCTGGAATAGCTGATTTTCTTGCGTGTTTTTAGATAAACATTTTCCGTTTGTGTATTTTATCAACGTGTGAATGTGAAGGCTGTTTTCAAAATCGTGTTTCTTGTTTTGGACATTTTTCGTCGTTGTTAGGTATTTGTGTTGCACGTGTTTTCCTAACCCTGTGTTTGTGTTGTTGCAGGTGTTCTCTCAAATGGTGTTTGTGGGCGTGTCGTTTTCGTTCAGCTGTCTGGTACAGGTGCTGGCCTCCTGTGTCCAGGAGATAGAGTTGAACCTCAGCAAGATCGCCAGTCCCGGCCCCAAGGATGATCCCGCCGCGCTGCAGGTGGGTCCCGATGTTGCATCTAACTACCTGCCTGCCAGTCTCGACTTCTAGCGTGGGACTGGCCCGTGTGCACACGCATACCTTGATACGAACTCGAAATGAGTAGGCTGTCCAGCCGTATGTTACTCATTTTATGCCTAATCCGTTCTCGGTTGATTTGGCTGACATTCTCGCCTCTAAGCGTTAATTTGTGAGTGTCTCACTGTCTGCCGTCTCTCCCTCTCAGGACGAGCTGGAGGGCAACATGACCACGGTGCTGTACATGCTGATGATCGCCAACCGGCTGCTGCCGTCCGCCACTGCCGACCAGGAGCTGGACGTGTGCCGCGCCGGATATAGGTCAGTCTGCACAGCGCGGGCGTGGACTCTGAATGGCCTTAGCAGTTGAAAATCTCCTCACTCAATGAACAGAGCTGAGTGCCGGCAGTGCTTGGCCACCCGGTTTGACTTTCACCACAGCGAAAACTCATGTGACCTCTTTTAACCGATTGAGGCACATGTGGCATGAGGTTTTGTTGCGACTCCGTGTGACCCGTTCTGACGGCGGGCTGTGTCAGATGGGCCAGGTGACACGGCACGATCTCAGCCTGCTGTTTGACTTCTGCCCTGTTGTGACCCGATCTGGCCGAAGGCTGTGTCAGATGGGTCAGGTGACGCGGCGCGGTCGCAGTCTGCTGTTTGTGTGACCTGTTGTGACCCGGTGTGACCACAGGCTGTGTCAGATGGGTCAGGTGACGCGGCGCGGTCGCAGCCTGCTCCACATGGTCACGTTTGCTGATACGCCGGTGGACGACTTCCACACCAGCAACATCTGCAAGTGAGTGAGGGGATGGGTCGGCCGCCCGCTCGGCGATGGCCAGCTACGGTACCTAGGGGGCGAATCAGGAAGATATTCTGTAGCATATCGTGAAAACTTGGCATTTTGTTAAAGCTTCGCAGTGACCGTTAGCAGCACGGAATATTTCGTCTATCATAAACAGTTCGTACTTCTTGCATACGCCATACAACTTTCCCACCACACACGTTTGTATTGCACTTGTAATTGATCCTCTATCATATTTTTCCATACGATCCAGCTTCTGCTTTCGTCAGGTCTCTTTCCATCCTGCCACGCCCCTCGCCTTCACCCCTCGCCTGTCCCTCTGCCCCTTGTTCTGATCAGGTTCCCGTGCGCGGCCACGGCGCGGCTGCTGATCCGGTGTGGCGCCGACGTCAACTGCCGGGACGCCGACGGTAACACGCCGCTCCACCTGATCGTCGGCTACCAGAAGCCCATCAGCGACTTCCTCACTCTGCACAGCATCATCGTGGCGCTGGTCGAGGCCGGAGCGCACATCGACGCCTGCAACGTGTCGGGACGGACTCCTTTCGAGTCGGCCACCACAGGTCAGTTGGTGGCCAGGGAAGGGACGGCGGGAGGGAGAGGTGGTGCGGGGCTGCCCGGAGTTAGAACGGGATCAAATGCTGACTTATTGGGTGGAGATTTGTAATTGTGGCACCTGGTTAATATATTTTCATTTGCTTTTTTTCTAATTATGTGCGTTCATTCGTGTATTAATATTAAGTGAATCGTCTCAGCTGGTCTCGGGTCTACCATCAGTTTTGTCTCCCGTAACTGAGTTCTCCGGTTGTCCGGCAGGTGTCGCTGAGATCATCCTGCGCACCCAGTCGAAGCTGTCGCTCAAGTGTCTGGCAGCTCGCGTGGTGGCGCGCCACCGTATCCCTTACACCGGCTGCGTGCCGCGCGACCTCGAGTCGTTCATCGAACTGCACGGACCGGCCGGGCACGCGGACCGCGTGGACGGCGGCCGCGGCGGCCGCGACAGCCAGCTCAAAACCATCTGAGTCGGGAGAGGGGGCTGAAGTTATATTAGTTATACGGACAGGCAGCTGAAAACCATCTGACGCGGGGCAGCCAGCTCAAAATCATATGGGTGCCGGATAGTCGGCTGAAGTTAGGTATCTGCGGGACAGGCAGCAAAGGAGTGTACGAGGCCGCCCGTCCACCGGCCGACGAACACAGAGTGATCTATTGCGGCCAGAGTCCTAGCCTTTCGGCTGGCTGGCGAGGGCTGATGCATTTTGACAGCTACAAGGGTCCCAGATTTAAGGCTGGCTGGCGAGGCTGTCACAGGGTTCCAGATTTAAGGCTGGCTGGCGAGGCTGTCACAGGGTTCCAGCTTTCCAGCTGGCTGGTGAGGCTGACGGTCACAGGGTATCAGCTTCACTTACTCGCGGTTGAATGATCTGATGGGGTATTGGTTTCGCTCGGTACACAGGTGAGGCCCGGACTGGGGGGCGAGATAAAGCCACTGGCAGTCGCCGCGAGTGGGACGAACCCTGTAGGTGCTCCCTGCTGGATGGGTGTGTATCACCCGGGTAAACAATAGTTCCGTGATCGACCTCTGCTCTCCGGGAGCTGTGGCCGGCCGTTTTGTTTTTCTGCGCTGCCACCCATGACGTATTGCCGGCGCAGGCGTTGTGTTTAGTGTTTATCAGCCATGACAGATGCCGGTGTGGGTTGGAGGCGGTCGGCCGGCGCCGCCGCCGTTTGTGATATATGCGCCACATTTGGCTCTCAGCTGGTGACTGTGGCCGAGAGACGTGCTAGGTTTTACTGCGAGCTTCTGCGCGGGTTGTGTGTGGCTGGTTTCGGTCGGTCTGGCCGTGCGGTCAGTGTGCTGCGGGTTGTGCCGAGTCGGGTGGAAGTGCCACCAGTCCGAAGACAGCTCCGTTCTCCGATGGACCGTCTCTGTGCTCAGTTCAGGCTGAGAACGCCGTGTACGGCCGGATGTAGACCGGTGAGGCGGTGACTGAGGATTGTTGTTGTTAACGCCGTCCAGTGAGGTCGGTAACGGAGGAATGTTATGTTGTTGCGACACCGCGGACCCTGGCGTCAGGCAGTGACGGGCACGGTGCTCCTACGCTGCCGACCCAAGGGTAGGCGGTGACGGGGTACGGGCTGCTGCGTGCCCCCGGCGGGCAGGGCCTACTCGGCCGGCGGCTGCTCGGAGTATGCAAACTGGTTGTGTTCCTGAACTATCTGATGAATATAAGACAGCTATCGATTTGTCCAAGTGCGCTATCCCTGCTATGTGCGAAATATTTGATTATCTGATTGCCTCGTGCCTCATCACTGTTTGAAAAACATTCGTATTGCTCACATTTGCTGCCCACCTCTCCTACAAACATCGTTTGCAACCGGACGGGTTCTTCTCCAGCCACTAAATGAATTCTAATGTTCCGCTTATTACGATAGTGGAAGTCCTCCATGCCTCGCATTGTATCACGAAAGTTTGTACATGTTAACTTCTAAAGCATTCGTGATGACCCCGAGGTTTAATGAATCATCAGTAGCAACACTAATTTAGAGCAGTCCTCGTGTAATTCGCCTGCGCCATTAGCTTGCACCTTCGGTCGTTAGCCGCATTAGCGGGATCCAATGAGAGCAGCGCCCATTTGTTCTTTCCCACGACTCCCTAGTCCACCAGCGCCGTCGGTTGTTACGGAAAAAGTCTTAATGAAGCCTGTAACCGGCGGTATACCGCACTCGTCGGGCCCCTCGAACAGGCGCTAACCGTGTCAGTGCTGTGTGGGACACTGAAACGCATGACGCAAAAAACAACGTAATATTTAAAATCACATTTTCCCCAAATTACGCGTTTCTTATTGCAAGCTCGTAAACTAAATGATGAAATAATAGCTTCGCGATATGCCATTAGGTGCATCAGCATCAAGTGAAACAGACAATAAACGAGGCAACACCTATATCAATACGTTTCGAACCTTTGAGACATCAGAATTGACCAACTTCGCAACCGGACAGCGAATTGAATGAAGAGCGGGAATTGGTGCGGTTTTGGCCGACTTCCTGACAGATGCGGGCCGCGGGGTAATACTGTGTGTAATGTGTAGGACAATAATGCATGGCCAGTGGGAGAACATTCATAGCCATAGACGTGCGCGCTACTATAGACCACTCGCCGACAAAAACCGCTCATAGACACCTCAGACCACTCACTGATGGTGCGTTCACACACCTCAGACCGCCCACTGACACCGCCTATAGTCACCTCAGACCGCTGGCTCTGCGCGGGTCAGTGTCGCGCGGACGCTGTTACCTCCCATAAGGAGCATCCTCTGACCGTCCTGGAGCTGGCCAGGGACCGGCAGCAGGCCGGCGGGGACGGTGGGCGGCGGCACGGGACGCCTCAGCAGCAGTGAGGGCAGCAGCAGGACCGGCGGCCGGCTTAGCGCCCGACCCAGCCCGGCGGCCATTACCAGCGCAGACCACGGCGGCGCGGCTGGAACGGCCGAGTGGAACGGTCACGGACCGACACAGCATGACTGGTACGGCCATATCGTAACTGCTACCGTAAGGTGGGGCTATTTGAGACAGTGGGGCTATTTGAGACAGTATTTAAAATTGCTGTAAAATAAAAACCACTTAAGATTCATGCTTAATTTTTTGCTCAGGCGATTTACTGCTCGATTCCACACCTCCCTGTGCAGAAATATCACACAAAAATCAAACGATCTTCATTTTATAGCGATTTTAAATACTGTCTCAAATAGCCCCACTGTCTCAAATAGCCCCACTTTACGGTACCTGCTTCATCGACACACAATGGATAGCATAGCCACAAGACATGGGCAACGGGACAAGCGTACACCTCTAAAACGTTTGATATGTGATGGCCCATTTTGCAAGGTCTGCGATCATTTTACCTATATGTATTGTCTTGTCTTGACCTTGCTGGCGCCGAGTCTCTGGCATGCCATGCCTGCCCAATAACGCTGTGTCTCTAAAATATCACGCCTGGATGATGTGCCGCAGTGTCGAGTAATTCCTATTACTGACCACAGATGCCGCTCTACAAAACGCCTGAGAGATGCTGCGCCGCAGTACTCTGTAGTTCCTATTCCTGACCACAGATGTCTCTCTACGTAGCGCCTGAATGATGCTGTGCCGCATTACCCCGTAGTTCTTATTCCCGACCATAGATGTCTCTCTACATGCGCCTGAATGATGCTGTGCCGCATCACCCAGTAGTTCTCATTCCTGACCATAGATGTCTCTCTACGTAGCGCTCTGAATGATGCTGTGCCGCATTACCCCGTAGTTCTTATTCCCGACCATAGATGTCTCTCTACATGCGCCTGAATGATGCTGTGCCGCATCACCCAGTAGTTCTCATTCCTGACCATAGATGTCTCTCTACGTAGCGCTCTGAATGATGCTGTGCCGCATTACCCAGTAGTTCTCATTTCTGACCATAGATGTCTCTCTACGTAGCGCCTGAATGATGCTGTGCCGCAGTGCCCAGTAGGGGGTATCTAATGGCTACTCTTCCTCATATGAATATTTGGTAATCCTACCTAATATGCACCGCAATGCGTGATCGTGAAATGTAATGCAATTAATGATGAACTGCTGAATGATGTGAGTCACAGACTTCTCTATATATAGAGAAGTCTGTGTGTGAGTCTCTCTTGAAAGTGCCGCAACACAGGGACATTGAGCGAATAAGTCTTTCCATTCTTCTGACTAGTAGTACTTCGAACACAATGCATGAAGGCCGAAAGACTGTGACGTTAGCTAGTATACATTCCATTTTTTCAAGTCACACCCAAGATAGACAGCCCGCATCCCCAAATAATCTGTTCATGCGTGGTAACAGACAATTCATGCGTTGTGGTTCTTGCGTTAACCTATCGACCAATATCATTGTAGATAAGATCGACCGCCCCAATTCACGTTTATATGGGTTAAGTATACTTGCGGAGCGTCTGTTGACGATGTCCCATACGCACACTGCAATACCTACACATTGCACAATGCACAAATGTTGGTGGTTGATAATGTAATAGGCAGGACAAGTGAACACAAACTGGGCACATTGGACCAACGAGAAACCATGCCGCATACTCACCCGAGATGAAGCTCTTGTCCGAAATCCTTTCGCAATTGTTTTGTTCGGTGTACTTCTCATGTTTTCTCCACTTCGCCCTTCTATTTTGAAACCATACCTATTGGCGAAAAACAGTAAGGAATATTTCACTTTCATTTCGATCGTGGATCAGGGTACAGAAAAGGCAACAATCGGCATAAAAGAGCACTTTCTGCAACTCGTCGAAAAAGTTAATATTTTGCTGAACAAAACGTTGGTAAATTGTAGATAAAGTGGGTTCGAAAGGCATGACTCAATATAAACCTATTTTCAATTGACTGCGACTGGCGAGTAGTGTGACGGAAAAGTGACTGGGAGTCATGGTGCAGGAGGAGCAGGTGAATGTATTGTAACAGGCACTATCTATGTGACAGGGCCTTCAATATGCTTGATACTCAACTCAATAGCCATAAAGCATTGGGGATCGTGATGAGCACGGCCCTTATATCGTCACCGGTCACATTACTTAATGTTTCGGTGTTCAGATTAACATTTCAGGGTGTTGGCAAGACGACTAGGGCACAGGTAAATGACGAAATATTTAAGTACCGCCAATGCTGAACGAGCTACATAGCAAGCATTCGTTCAAATGGTTTGGAGTGTTTCCAAAGAATGTAGTCCTTAGTCACTGAATCTGAATCAAACGTTTATCGTGCTAGGGAGACTCGACTTCGCTTTCTGAGCGTCTCGACAACTATGCAGCCAACCGTCTCCGATTCTATCGAGTCGCCGCGCTTCACTGGATATCAATTGGACTGGCAAATGGCTTAGGTCTGCCGCTTTTTAGGCAATTTGAAGCAATTTAAACCTTTTCAGTGTTTTCCACTTAGAAAATCTCACAATACAACTGATTTGGTCGAATTAGTCGTCTTTTGAGCTCCTGCGACAGCGGGTGGCATAAAGACGGACCAATCGCCGGCGCCGGGACCCAGAACGCCGCTCAACGGTAACCGGCGATGAATGAGGCCGCTAATTGGACCTCTCATTTTAAATCGATCAATATTGAGCGAAAGGGAGCATTAGAAAAAGCAGAGAAAGGTAGGAACTTCGAAGCATATTGACAATGGAATAGCGAGCTATTCTAAAAATTAATCTGGAGGGATTTGCAGCATCAAATATTTACCGTATTTTTGAAGCGACGTTTGCTTTACACTGATTAGGTAGGACATCGCCACCAATTATAACAAGGTGAAGAAGCTACAAAGCATCAAGCCATCGTGGTTATCATTCGCGGCATTTCCGTTCACAGACAAAGCATTCTCAAGCAAACACAATCGACGGGTGGCGCAATAGGCGGGGCTGATAGTCGGCACGCGTGTCATGTATTGACAATTCATGCTGGATGACCCGAGTGCACTAGCCGGTTCACTCGGCAATTTACAGCAAATGCGACAAATGTCATGATACAATACAAATGACACAAAGCATTTTTTTTTAATGAGTTAGCTCCAATGGGATGAGAGACATTCGGAAAACCTGTCTGCAATTCAGATACACCTCCAATAAAACAATTAACAGTTTACAGTAGGTACGTACTTATCACATACATATCTCATGAGTCATGTTCAATGAAAATGTTCCTATGGATAAGATCCAGACAAGTTACGGGGCATGGGTCACTGTCCTGAAAACCAAGGTCTAGCAGTCATTTCCCTTAGGCGGCCCAAACTGTGACAAACATGGTAGGTATAACTCTATTCGTTGTAGTTTCTCATACCAATGCACATCTAATTTTGTCGGCATAATAAAACCAAATCTAGGTTATTGTACCGCTGAATGAAATGGGCTTCCCGCTCCTTTGGATGAGGATTTCAGTCCTGATTTTCTGCCGGTTCGCTCTGGGAATCCCGATCTCGCTGCTCATGATTTTCATGAAGCGCTTCGTTCCACTCTAGATCTAGCTCGTCATGCTCCTGCTGATGCCGCTCCATTATTTTCCACAACCCGAGCGCGTGTCTGAACCCCTGGCTCGGTATCATCTGCTCCCGCCCACTGGGGAGCGGCTCCTCGCCGGCTGGAGTCTGCTCCAGCGACTGTGAGTCATACACATTCACCCAGAGACGATGGTCCTGCGACTCGTCCTCGGCATGTTCGTCATTGCCGTGAGCTGCTTGTGCTTCCCTCAGTTCCCGCGTCTGTCGACTGGCCAGCTCGGTAACCTTCAGCAGGTAGCTCTCGAAGCGCTGCTCCTCCTCGTCGCGGTCCGGCTCCAGACTCTGCTCCCGACTCTGGTGGCTCTGTGTCTGGTTTTCAGCGGCCGTGCCCAGAACATGTTGCCGCAGCCGCCATCTACCCACCGAACCTCTTACGGCGGCCCACAACTGCCGCTCAAACCGGTCACCCGAGAGCAGGTGGCGGATACGAAGCTGCCACACGTGGATCGTTATCAGCGCAGTGTCCTCGTCCATACCGGGCAAATGCTTGACGAGGTGTGGAACCAAGTGATCAGCGTAATCAAGCATTTCTTCAAGGTGCTGACGGTGCTCGTTGCATGTTGGCAGAGGCTTACAGTGCACCAGAGTCATTTCTCGGTCGCTTTCCTCTAACCACGCCTTCCTTTCCGGCATGATCTCGGTGAGAAACTGCACCACGAGCTCCGGCTGCAGGAGCAGCTCGGCGCGGCCCCGCGGCGAGTCCAGCTCGGCGGTCAGGCCCGCCTGCGGCCGCTCCTCTGGGGGCACGCTCAGCTGGCGGTGGCACCACGCGGCCGCCGCGGACGGATCTCCCGTGAGGTAGCACATATCTCGGTCTATGAGGGTGGCCACCAGCGGCGCGGCGTCCCAGGTGTACCGCTCCCCGTCGACGGCCGTGAGCCGCACCGCGCAGAAGACGTCCTCAGGAGCCACCATCAGGGCCTGGAGCAGGTAGCACTGCTGGTGGTACGCCCCCGTGCGACAGCGGTAATACCACTGGAGGAGCTGGTGCTCCGACGCTAGAAGCAGAGGCGGCACGCAACGTTCCGCCCAGGACTGCCAGTTGGGTAGCGTCGTTCTTCTGGTCACACCGTCCATAACAGCCCGGCAGATCAGCACTCTTGTCAGGACTAGGCGCAGTCGCCGCGGCGGGAGAGGCCTCCAGACTGAGCCCTCCTCGAATAGCAGACGTACTTCGTAAAACTCGTCCGCACACCAGGCCATCAGCAGAGCGGTCGTCCGACGCTTCATAACAGCGATGGTTTTGAGCATGTCCTTCCTCTCTTCAATGGTGACGAGGGACAGCAGGTCGATGTCAGCCCAGAAGAAGCAGGGCAGACTACCGGCGACGATGTGCTGTTGCAGCCAGTCGAGGATCGTGGCCACGCCGTCCACCACGCCCGTCCAGCTGTCGGCGGGGCGGTCCTGCGCCAGCCACAGCATCGCTGTCTTGATGTAGTAGGATTTCAGCGACGGGGTCGCCCCACCTTCCTTCATGTAGCTTTTCATTCTCTTCACGGACTTCACCACGGCTCGCTGTGTGGCCGTCAGCTGGTGAATGGCGACCACTTCGGCTCGGGAGAAGGAGAGGCGCCACTCGTACAGCTCTGTGGCGCTGCCCTCCCGGCCGGTGGGCACCATGTGCACGCCGAACTGGCAGAGCTCCTGACGCGCCGCCGCAGAGGGGAACTCGTGCACCCGGCGGCGCGAGAGGAACGCCTCCCTCCCCGGCCACACGGGCAGTCTCAGACACGGCACGTGGTCCTTTCCGCCGTGATTGTCTTCCGGCCGTTGCGTGTTGACGGCCGGTCCAGGTGTGCTGATGGCGCTGTCGGGTCTAATGGCGCGACAGAACTCGAACATCAGTCGGCGCACCTGCTGGGCGGGGAGCGCCAGCAGCGTCGACTCGTGCTCGCACTCAGTCGTGCGGGCCCAGTGCAGCGTGACAAAGGCCGGACTGTCGGTGGGCCTGGCCCACAGCTGCGGCGCGTCCTGCGCACTGATGCAGTCCGGCTCCTCGCCCGGCCGCACCAGCGGTCTGTCCATCCATCGGAAATCGCCTACCAGCTCAAACATGAGATCATAATCGGACAAGCTCGGCACATCCTGAAATATATCGGCCAGTCCCTCGGCGCTGCTGCCCGACCGTCCGACGTGCAGCACACGGAGCGGGGTGGCCGGCGTGCAGCGGGGACACGTGTCCGCCGACTCCAGGACGGCGGCGCTCCTGGTGGCCTGCAGGGCCGCCAACAGAGGCTGCTCCGTGAGCCGCACATGCGCGTCACGCACCGCAAACTGGGCGATCTCGGCCACTTTGGCGGTCGGGTGCCCCGTCACCAGTTCGTTGGCGATACTCAGAGAGTCGATGGCCAGACGAGCGCCGGCGCCGCATTTGACTAACAGACGGTGCACCGTCCACTGGCGGGCCACGCGCCTCCGCGCGCGCCGCAGCCACTCCATGCCGCCGAGTGCAGAACTTCCACGGTCCCGGCCGCGGCCCGCAGCGCACCGACACCATAACCGCACTGCCGGCGAGGCGAGCCGACGCCCGGCTGGCCGACTACCCGGCTTCTGTCCGACCGACTTTCTCGACGTTCACTCTCAGTTTGTTTATCTTGTGAGCGATCTCAGGGGCGACACCCTTATCACGTCAAGATATGGAGGGAGACAATAACGATTGCAGTTTGTCTGGAGGAGCGTATCAATAATCCTCTGATACATTCAGTCCGCAGGCTTCCTTTGTCGAGCCGACACTTCAAATACGGACGGCTCCCGCTGTCAGAGGCTGTACAGTGACACCGCACCGGGAGCGTGACTCATTGTTTGGGGGTTCACCGTTCCGGCAGTCGCCGGGAGCCGGGATGTCTGCGACCTTGACCACAGCCACCGGCATGCTTCCAGATAACCGCGTCACTTTTCGAAATTTATCGGTAGGGCTGGGCTGTAATGACTAATTTTGGGGATAGAAACCAAAGCAATTCTTGCCATGCAACGACTAATGCTAAAATACCGAAACTATGGGTAGGATTCGAACTGTATAAAACAACACCCGTGCTTTCAGGTTTTCAACCGTTCAATGGTAGGAAGCAAATAATAATAATAATGATAATAATTATAACAATAATAATACCTTCAAAACAAGCACAACAATCCCCACAATACGCACCCGCTTGGTGAGAAGCGGAAGAGGGGAGTAAACAGTCGGGTTCGGGGGATGAGAAAATGTGCACATAATTCAAGAAAATGTGAGTAGGAGGAAAACATGAATAGTGTTTAACCCTCGCCGGACCTATTGGTTTTCTACATACGCACCGGCCGAGGGGGGGGGGGGAAGCAGGTACGACCCCCCCCTCGCCGTTTCGCCCCTGGTGGAGCTAGCGCGTCGCAGAAAAACGAGCTTGTGCGCCGCTACGAGACGCAGAGATTGATATCCGACTTTAAGGTCCTAGGTCAACCGGTGACCTCTGAGGTCAGGTCAAACGCCCCAAGGTACGGTTCCGTTTTTGGTGAATAACTTGGCAAAAAAACGGCGGCAGAGCCGCGATTTTGGCAGCATCGTGTTCGCCTTGCTCAGAAGCGTCGAATAATATGCTTTTTGTTTGGGTGAGATCAGCTTAGGGTGTTGACCTCGGGTCACGGTCAGGTCAGTTCAGCGCCCCCAGGTCACGAAATTGGTCGAAGGAGGTCATGTCGCTTATTACTCGATTCGGCAGGTCTTCCTGAGTCCATTGGTGGCTTTCCCAACTCGCTAGCTCAATTTGATCGGGAGTTATTGGCGAAAAACTAATATGACCCTGGCCTAATGACGTCATAACTTACCTCACGCAAAGTCAACATTGCAAAATAACGCATCGAACCTTGCAAGGAGTGCATGAAATTACGATTCTGAGTGTTTGAGATAGCCGGAGGTCGTTCCCAGCGCCAAAATAGCAGTTTTCTTTTTCCCCATTGACTTATAATGGTGAGGTCACGAAAATGACCTGACCTCATATGACTTTAGGAAAAATCCGAGATATACATGTTGTGAGACACCTAATGAATACTGGGTCCCGCAAGTTTCATTTTACTGTGGAAGCTCCTCTGGCAGTGAGGGCGTTGCGAAGTTGAGACATCTGAAGACCGTGCAGAGGTTCACTTATGACGTTATAGGTCAGTGACCTGACCTGATCCGAAAATGCGGTTGGTGTCAGAAGATCCGGCTTGAATCAAGGGTCAAGTATGCCAGGCTTCAGCTCTCTATCGCCGGCGTGTTCGGAGCTATCGCGAAAAAAAATATGGGGGGCGGCACCTGCCCCCCCCCCCCTCCCCTCGGCCGGCGAGGGTTAAAAAAATAATGAAATGAGAATAGAGAAATGAAGAATTAATCTTAAAATTGATTTTGAACGGGTTTGCAGATCATTTCCAATGAGTCAGTGTTTTGACCTGTGCCGTGCATGCAGTCTCTTACTGTGGTATGAACTCCGCCGAGTGTGGTCTGTCGTACATACCTGAACTCTGGCCTCGGTCAGCTGCAGTCTGCCGGCCACCTCTTCCCGAGTCAACACGTCCGGATACTGGCACTTCTCGAAGGTTCGCTCCAGCGCGTGCAGCTGGTACGTGGTGAACGTGGTACGCGAGCGCCGAGACTTTCGCCTGGCGACGGGAGCGAGAGCCGAGATAAGGTGGATAAGATGGCATAAGGAGATAAGGATGGCGATGTGCCCTCTACATATAGTTATCTACATGATGTGCCCAGATGTGTATTTACATATATGTGCCCCATGCAGTAAGAGCACACAGCGGCGTATTTAGAAAATCGCGAAGGGGGGGGGGTCAAGGGTTTGGAGGGCGCCACCTCACCCAAGGAGGGCGCCATACGGTCGCGAGATAAAAAATCGCTCAGCGGGGTGGGGGGGGGGGGGGGGGTTGGGAGGCGTTTTTTACCATGCCACCAGTTTTTTTTTTACGTAACCTCGTATAGGTCGTGCTGCATTGATTTTGCATCGTGTGTATAATTATTCTTTATACTCCAGGTCACAAAAGGTCAAGTGTTCTTGAAATGCTGCGCCGAAGGCGCGCGAAATTTTTGAAAACAACCTTTTCCTCCGCTTTTTAGGCACGCCTTTTATACGATCACCGTTCAAAGCTCCTCTCGCTCTTTTACCAAATTTGAAGGTGTAAAAAATACCTAAGGTTTGGTCGGGCCGCTGCCACACAAACTGTATAGAAAGCTTGGCTCATGGGTGTCGATGTATAAAAGTTTATTGGCGGTGGCATATCTACGCACCAGATCACCGTATCGGATTGATACCGGAGCGCGAGATGCGTAAACATCATCCAAATTACCTCAGACCAGCCTTCATAGCCTTCTCACAGATGCATACAGTGTACCCACATAACCAGTTTCAATCACCGAAACTTCAGATGCCTGCTGTTGCGGCCGAACCTGTTGACAATACTTAATCGTAATCCATATAGATGCCATGATGCACGTAAAGTAGGATCAATCCGTTAAGACCAAAGACGTGTTTTATGCATCGTAGAGCGTAGATAGTTTTGGTAGGTATAGGTACTTCATTCATTGTGCTGAATGCACGTTCATTTGTGGCAGTTTTCACAGGCAAGACATCAACTATGTGCAATAGAACGACTAAGTTGAAAAACATGCCAAAGGAGTAAATAAATGATAAGAGGGCAGCGATCAACGGATGTTGCCAATAGGTAGAAGGGCTGCGATCCACAGGAGGGCGCTAATAGGTAGGAGAGCCCCGATCAACATCCCGAGTTTCGATAGTAGGGCACCGATAGGTAGGAAGTTGGCGAGCAGCAGGAGGGCGCCAATGGATAGAAGGGCAGCGATCAACAGGAGGGCACCAATAGGTAGGCGGGCCCCGATCAACAATCAACAGGAGGGCGCCACCAGGTAAGAGGGTGGCGAGGAACAGAGAGCACCAATAGGAGGGTGGCGATCAACAAGAGGTCGCCAATAGGTGGGAGGGCGGTCATCAACTGGAAGTCGTTAACCCGCGCCCCGCTGGGCTATTCAGCCATACGCGCCCTGCTGGGGGGGGGGGGGGCAGATTCTGCCCCCCCCCCCCCCTGTCTAACTTCCGAACCGATGGTCGTAGAAAGACGGGGAAAACGGCAATCGAAAGCTCTCAACAAGACGGATCTTAAGAGCCCAAATTTTTTTGCTTAAGTAGGTCAGAGGTCAGGTCAAGGTCAGGTCAAGGGTACAAAATGCAAGTTTCTACAGTATCGGCCTTGCACCGTAGTTGCCGAAGAATGGACTGAGACTGATTGCCCAAAACGTGTTCTTAGACTACCAAGACAATATTCGTTGCACACAATGTCATTCAAAGGTCAAGGTCAAGGTCAGGTCAGGTCAGGTCAGGTCACCAAAAACAAAATATAGAAAAGGGCATGTGCGACACATGTTTTATGGGTCATTTTACTCATGGAATTCAATAGGCACACTCAATAAGTGATATGGACCACCTCTGGATGAATTTCAGGTCGAGGTCAGGTCAAGGTCAGGTCAAGTGAGGTCAAATTTTGAAGCTGGTTGTTAAGGCCTAAAAAGGTGTCTATCCGATGCAGTTTTTCACGGCGAATCGAATGGTGCTATTTTTGTTTCCGTACGAGGTCTAGAACTTCCAAAAAAAATCATTTTTCAAAATTTTTGTGTGTCGTGACGTCATAAAATTTTGAATAACTCCCACATTTTTGAACCGATTCTTCTAAAAATTGGTATGTAGGTGCACATAGACCACTTCTTTGACATATATTCCGGTTTTTTCGATATACTCAAAATTTTGGATTTTATAAATATTTTCCCAAAAAAGTCAGTTTTTTTGAAAATTTTTGGCCAAAATCCAAAATTTTCAAAAAACCGAGATAACCATTTGATAGACAAAGTAGAATCACGTATAACCTTTTTTGTTACGTCTTGATTCCTTTAAAAATGAAGATGTTAGTGGCGCTTGAAATTTTGCCGTTTTTGAGGCGAAAATGGCGAACATGACGTCACTAAAACGTCAATTTCTCAAAAATTTTCCTACGGATTTCGCTCAAATTTTCAGGGAACGTGTCAAATTGATGTATGATAAGGAACTGAAAGTTTGACGTCGCTGGCGTAACGCGTTTAGAAGTTATTGGCGAAAAACGGGAGGGGGGGCAGATTCTGCCCCCCCCCCCCCCAGCGGGGCGCGGGTTAATGAGCGGAAGGGTGACGATTAAAATGGGGGTGGCAATGGTGAGGAGGGCGCCTTTGCTCAAGAGGATGACACGAACAGGAGGGCGTCTGTGCGGAGGGCGCTGGTCAACAGGAAGGTTCCAGTGGATAGGAGGGCGGTGATCAACAGGAGGGTGCCAGTGGTTAGGAGGGCGGCGATCAACACGAGGGCGCCAATAAGAGAAGGGCCCCGATTAACATTCAACAGGAAGGACTAGGGAACCAATAGGTAGGAGGGCGGCACTGAACAATAGGGTGCCAAAAAGGAGAAAGGCGGCCTTGAAAATTTCACATGAGGGCGCAATAGGTAGGAGAGCGCCAATAATTATGAGGACGCCGATCAGCAGAAGGGCGGCAATATGTAGCAGGGTGGCGACCTACAGGAGGGCGCCTTCGGGTGAGAGGGCGCTTATTTACGGGACAGCGGCTTACATAGGCGACCACCGTTACGCTTAGAGAGCTACAGCCTACAAATGTGGTTGGAGGGCGCCCGAGGGAGCCCTCCAACCGTATTTGGAGGGCGTATTTGGAATGGGCGTCCTCCGAGGGCGCCCTCCATCCGTATTTTCCCTGTAAACACATTCGCGATTGGAGGGCGCCCTCCAGTCGCGATTGTTTTTCGATTCGATTATATCACAATTGCATTTGCGATTGGAGGGCGCCCTCCAATCGCAAAGGGCGCCTTCGGCGCCCAAGGGGGGGGGGGGCCATGGCCCAGTGGCCCCCCCCTGCCTACGCCCCTGAGAGCACAGGACGTTGTAAGAAAGTTTTCATCATATGCTTTGAGCATGAACAATGAGCATAGTACCTAATGATCATTAGTCCATGGTAAAAAATTCGAAACAGGTGCATCTCCGCTACTTAGACTAAAGGAGCATCGGTAACGGATATTTACCCATTTTAGCACATAGATAGGTACGTACATTTAGCCTTCGAACACCAAACAAACTTACTCGTGTTTTTCGGGTCGCTCAGTGTTCGCGTTTTCTGCAGCGTCGTCCTGGACCCCGAGCGATTCCGAGCCGTATGAAGCTGGCTGATCCTCGCCATCCCCTGAAAAACGAAAACATTCCTGTACCCGCCACTGTCCAGTACAAGAACTAAACAAGGCACTTAGGAAGATCGTTTCGCCGTAGGAACTAACGTAGATTTCAGATAAAATTCACCATAAACGCATTGAGTGAAGTCCTCAGTCCTGCCCTAAACAATCATTTCGTATCGGGCCTAGGGGTTATATTTCTCAGGTCACAGATGACCGTAGCAGGGTCAGGGTGATCATTGATGGGCAGAGGGCTAACCTGCAGGATGGTGCCGAGGCTGACGATCCTGTCCCAGGATCCGGTCAATGCTGTGCGCCGTCGGAGGTGCCTGTTTTCGAGACATTGTCCCCGCCCGAGACACACCGCAAGGTGCCTGCGACCACAGCCGACCCGCCAGAATCCGGAGAACAGAGGTGCCCTAAACGTAAACAGTGATCCATTTACAAGCTACGAGAGCTGTCAAAGACCAATCTGTCCCCCCTCCTCCAGAACCGACCGCCGTCAGCCAATCAGAGGCGACTTACAACTGCCGTCGACCAATCACAGCGCTGTAGTTATGCGGAGGCGGGGCCTCAAGTCAAGAGGGAAGTGTTAGCTTGGTTGGTAGACGGACTTTGGTTACTGGTGAACCCAGAACCAAGTGCCGAATCTGCTGATCCGTAGCTTGCCTCTATTGCTCAGCTTCCCGGCAGGACCGGTTTCGGCCTGACTTCGACCATAGGTCAGCCTCAGCACCAAGGTAGATTTTTCCCGGGCAAAAAGTAGATACATCGTTCGATGAAGATGGACGTAACAAACGCAGTGGTGGCAAAACAAAACCAGTCCCTGACATTTGGGTATTAAGCCCGACCTTGGATGTGCCGAGAATTGGACCTCGAATTTTGGAATAAATCGTTGTGTCTCGATTTATCGGCGAACACGCCCATTTCCGTGAAGCTCAAGCTCAATTGGGGACAAAAGGAGAATGGGTCGTTATACATGGACCCTCTCACCAACCCCTTGGCTTGCAAGTTAAAAAAAAATGGTAGCTCCTAAAAGTACGACCTCGACGGCGAACACCGCAAAGCAAAAATATACTTTCCAAAAGTTTTATCAAACAGGTCAGGCGACTGGCAAGTGGCAACTGACACTGAATGTTGATGCACGACTTCACTACGATATTGTGACAATGAATGGAGCGGCCAACTGAGGGCCAGAAGGCAGCTGTGTTTTATTCCACCATCGGTGGCGACCTGTAGGGGACGTTTTCAGTAGAGAATGTCGCCGGCGACCGGCCCATAGATAGGTGGCGCTGGCGGCGGTCGCAAGGGGCAGCTTCAACGCCGTCATTAGTCGCGCACTGGATAGTATCCACGCAGCGTGAAACCCAGAAACGAGGAGATAAAAATGCAAATATATAATTCAATTTCCAATCACAAGTCAACAACAACCAGCATACAAGCGTACTGCACCACAATGGTGCCCACCAGCATAAAAACGACACACACCAGCTGCGTGTCCCAACCAACAAGTCTCACCCGCTCGTAACAGCACTTAGTCAACAACTAGCGATTCTATTTGTATTGCAGACCTCCAAGAGGTCTACCGGGTGTTCACTAAAAAATGGGACAAATTTGTTTCGTGTGTATTTCGTGAAAAAATCACGCCAGTGAAACAAGTTCAGCACCACTACATTATCCTTCTTCTCCTCTTTCGAACTCTACAGCTCTCGAAGGCCTGTGTTCCCCTTGTCTGCCACAAAGCGGATCTTTGTCCGCGTGCGCCTCCATAGCTTTTGGCACGTGTCCGCCGTAATGGCAGCCATTTGGCGGCGGATTCGCTTGGTCAGCTGCTTCTTGGTCTCTGCTTCATAACCACCAGCGTACACACGTGACTTCAGAAGAGCCCAAAGTCGTTCGATGGGGCGGATTTGTGGTGCGGCTGGTGGGTTATCCTCCTTAGCCACAACAGGTATTTTCAGCTCTTCGAGGGTGGCAAGGACGTCCTTCTGGTAATGCGCCGGAGCGAGATCTGGCCAGAAAATAAACTTTTTACCACGGTAGTTGGCATCTACAAACTCCTTGAGCCTCGGTAGGCATTGGGTGCGGTAGACGTAGGCGTTCATTGCGCCACTCTCCATGATGAAGGGCTTGCTCAGCCCGTGTTCAGAAAAGGCCACCCAAACCATGACTTTTGGCGTGAACTTCTCCACTGTGGCGAACCGCACACCATCCCCGGCTCCAGATGCATCATCTGTATAAAATCCAACTTTTCCCGGCTGACTGTGACCTTTCATAGGGAAATATGACTCATCGTCCATGATAATTTGAGTTTTGTTGGTGGGCTTCATAGCGCTCCTTCGAAGCTTGCCACACCTGGTCTTCTGCTTTATTTTTTGGTCCTCTGTGGCCGCCGGAACACGCTTTCGGCGTCTGTAGCGTAACTTCGTCTTAGTGCTAAGTATTTTGCTGATGTAGCTGAGGCTTACACCAAACTTCCGTGCAGCCTTTCGCTGTGAGGCGCCGATGTGTTCCTTCATGTACCTTTGTAGGTTTAAGATCTCTTTTGGGGTCATTTTTTTCGCCTTCCGACCACTTCCCGGCTTCCTGCTAAGGGAGTCCCCTGTATCAAGCTTTTCCATGACGCGATACAGTGTTGTTTTCGAAATTCCCATCTTTTGGAAGTGTTTGTAAGTAAATGACTTCCCTTTGGACCAGTGCTCTTTATAAAAGGTGCCAATGAGCTCCCTTCGCTGTCTGCCTGTTAACCCGTCCATTTTGTCTGGGGGCTGATCAAAAATGAATTCAAGCGCGGTCATGTGTTAAAAATGTTGTATTTTCCACGTGCACTAAAATGCAGTAATCTATCCAGACGCACTTTCAACTGACAGCGCACAGAATATTGTCCCATTTTTTAGTGAACACCCTATATGTTGGTGAAATTGAACTAGGACAGCCACATCCACCTAACCGCCTTGAATCCCACCGCCCCAGAAGTCAGCCACTAATAAATACCACCTTTACCCGTCCCGGATCACAGTTGGACCGAATGCAACGAGCTGAGGCTGGCGAATCGATTGCAGCGAGCTCCAAGCATACTAGCGTGCTCTGACAGCAGTCCCCTGAAGCCGGCGCGGGTCCCACTGTCCCAGTTGGAGTGGACTGACTTCGGTGGGTGGCTCGGTGTGACTCTCGGCGGGCGGCGGAGCGGCGGCGGCCGACATCAGGCTGCGGTCTGCTCCCAGCGTGACCAGTAGTCGGCCGTCTGCATCTCAGCCAGGCGCGACACAGTGCGCTCGAACGCAAACAGCTCCTCCTCGCCGGTGAAGATGCTGGCCTCGGTGAGCTGACAAAGGCGAGCGGGACGGGGCACGGAGGGCGGTCAGAGTCACGAATAGAGCACGGGGTCAGGGGCAGACGCCGGGGAGGTGTATGAATGGAGGAGTACAAACTCAACGACGTAATTAGAGTAACGCACTCCAGATAGATGGTTGGTTTCTTCATATGGCATAAGCAATCAGCGCTAGGGATTTCAATTAAGCTCGCAAGTCACTCGAAGGTGAAATTTCTTTCCAATTTAATTACACTTCAATTTTATTATCAGTCTAGTACCTTCCACCTAAACTGCATTTTGATGGTCCATCACCATCCCGACCATAAGATATCCGAGTTCAGCCTCGTGTGCTCACCGAGTCATTGGTCAGCTTCAGGTCGTCCATGAGTGCCCGTTTGTCGTCGTCCACGTCCATGTCTTTATCGGCGGTGAAAAGTTCCTTGAGCGGCACGTCTGCGCTGATGACGACACGCACCTGTCGATGAGACCGCTTACCATCAGAGACGGTCGGATATTGATCCCCCTCCGGCTGGGGGAGGGGGGGGGGAGCGGTAACAGCGCGAGCAGACCGGCGGTTATTGGAGCCAATCACGCTCGACGCGCCGGCAGAGCGCGCGACACTGGATAGTAATTGCGATCGCTTCCGCTGCTAGGGGATGGATCGGCAAGGAGCAGACTGATCATCGGGTGTCCCGTGACAGAAGGTCCGCTGCTGACGTATGTGATAAGCTATATTGGACGTTATTAACACAAAGTCTACGTATTGCGCTTAACATTGTCGGAACAGTATCATCCGACTGGTATCGACTCCACTGTACGGAGACGCCAAGTGAATGAATGATCGCCGCATTGGCTTCATGACTTCCGACTTACATGGTGGTCATACAGCGTGTCCATCAGCGTGATGAAGCGCCGCGCCTGCGCCCGCTTCTTGGTGTTGAGCTGCGGAACGTCTCTGATGATGACCGTGTGGAAGAACTGCGCCATTGTCAGGTAGTCGGCGGCTCCCAGCGGCTGACGAGCGGGGCAGGGACGAAACAACGTCAGAACAACGCTATAGAAGTTTGTAATACACTGACCAGACATTTGTCAAATTTGATTGCAAGCATCGACCGGTGCTGCCGCCATACCTACTAACATAAAACGTCACAATCAGGACACCGTAGAACGAAATATCATTAAATTGATCATTTTATTCCTAGTATCTCCCAAATTTAGTATCTTGAAAAGCTAAAAATGCCATCATAAAATTAATCATAAACAATAAACATGATGAATATTGAATGGATTCGTATGTTACCAGGTGAGATCCTGGACTACTGTCGTCATCATACCGAGAGGGTTATTGTATTGGGTAATACACACGTGTCCGATGCATATTTACGTCTGGACAACGAGTTGCGTTGGAGAGGCCGGAAATAGTGGCGATTTCAGGACCGCAAGAATGGACCGTCATTGGAATGATTCTTTTTTAAACCGTGCACTGTTTTCGGCCGGAATTTAATAGTTGATACAAAATATTTTGTAATTACGTTGTCACCAAGAATGAATGCAATCAGGGCTAAATTTTTAATACTATTGCATTTTGTCAAGAAGCATATAGTGCTGTTATGTTGCAGTTTTAGCGCGTTTGTTACAAAATATGAAGCGAATAAGCGTCAGTGTAATTCATCAACAGTGCCAGAAGTTAACTTGATGGAAAGATATGCTAATTGCTCTTGTCCATCCACTAAAATTTATTAAATATTTTGCTTTGTGTATTCCAAAAGGAGAGGGAACCATTTCATTTGTGCCTTCATGTCAGAATTGAAGGTGGATCATTAAATTTTCAACGCAGTTTACAAACAAGCATTTCAATTTGGTCTTTCTCGTTTATAAGCAGTGGCTAAGAAAAGGTTGATCAATCCTGAAGTTCAGTCATCGTACCTCAACTTGGCAGCAAGATTCCCCAAGGACAGAGGATATATTGTATACATGTCCTGTAAATCAAAACAAACAAGCATTTGGTCTTTCTCGTATATAAGCAGTGGCTAAGAAAAGGTTGATCAATCCTGAAGTTCAGTCATCATACCTCAACTTGGCAGCAAGATCCCCCAAGGACAGAGGATATATTGTAAACCTGTCCTGTTAATCAAAACATTTTTGTGCCTACAAAGGCTTAAGTTATCTGTGGTGTGTTCGGAGTTAGGCTATATGGCTGTTTTTGTTGTATGTTTATGTGGAGATTGAATATAACTGTGACCCTGTGCTTGTTTGTATACTTACGGTCAAACAGGGAACAGCACATTCACATAACATACTCAGTACCTAACTCATAGCTGAACCCTGCAGGATCTGTACTTGTTCTCATGTCTCGAGCATTAACAAAGCACTAAAGTAGCTTAGTAATCATTTCCCACATTTTTTGAGCATCTAACATGACATACAGCAGTGCAGAGCAGCTTCAGAGAAGAAACACTTTAAATGCACAGACTCACACCAGCCACCCAATGAGCCAGTTCCTCAGTTGACTGTTTCTCTGGATGCAGCTTGGCAATGTGAGCTATAAGTCTAACTTTTGGCAAGTTGAAGGTTAGCAGGTAAGATTGAGTTAGGGTGAGTACCTACCTATAACTGGGTGCTACTGCCATGCAGGTCTTGGGTAGGCTGCTAATATGTGTGATGATTGAGGTTAGGTCAGCTGTCAGGTTAGTCAGGTTCAGGTATGCTCATTGCTCAGGTCACATTTTTATGGACATTTGGCAAATTAAAAACTAGCAATCTAATCTCAGCTAACCCAACTAAACATACACAACTATACTGACTATAGGAACTGAGCACCTACCTACTTGTGCCTACATCTCATACCACGTCAAAGTAGAGTTCCTTGGTGGAAGATTACCCTCAGTACTTTTTATCCCAGCCCTGTAAAGAAAACTAATACTTCTAAGCTCTGAGTCACTGCTAGCCATCCACAGGAAGAAACGCTGAGACTGAGAGCTTTGCCATTGTATATTGGACCAATAATGACTATCACGAATGACTATGAACACATAATATGATCACCTCGTTGCATGGATTGTCACATTGACAATCCTTCTTTGACAATCCTTTACTACAATCCTTTTTTCAAGAAATACAGTGATGATGATTAACATCAAAATCAACATAAAGTGGATTTAGTGATCCAAGCTTTCTCCTCCAGTAGCAATGGAATGATCGCATGTTTCATTTGCCAGACACTGAGTATACTGATGCACTGGCACATTACAATCTGCATAGCATCTAAGCATAGTAAAACTGCCCAAGTCCATTCATTCTAGATTTAAACTTGATAGTTAGCACTAATTTATCTTGCTGTTGTAAGTTATCATTCAATATTCATACCAATACATCAATATGCGCTCATCAGTCAACATTTTCTGGCATGATCCTGCTCAGCGTGCTCTTCAGTATTGCTCCAAGGTCTGCAATACTATAGCTTGTTTTTGGACAATAAGCTCTTTTAATTTTACTTTTTCCTGCTGATATATGAGCCCGATCAACTTGCGTTTATCAACCAAAATTTCATAACTTGTTCAACTTGATATTGATATTGCTCAGGAGTCAGGAGCTCTGTCAGCCTCCTGGATACTTAAGATTGTTTTCGGTAAAACTTCAGTTTTTTACATTAAAGAAACACAATTTTGATTTGTTTTCAGTCAACATGCTTCTTAAATATGATATAAGTCAATCTTCAGGGATTCAAAACGTCCAACAAAACGACGTACAAGAGCAAGAAAACCAACAGATAAACTAAAAAATGGCCTTGGAACAGAGCCAAGTCATGGATGAGAGATATAATCTCTCATCCATAATATAATCATCATAATATAATCATCTCATCCTGTAATCTCTCATCCATGGCCAAGTGGTGCTCCATTTGTTTGTTTACAATGATTGTAGTGCTGATGTATTTTTAGGACTCTGAACGTCGGCTTATAAAAAATGAAACGTTTTTACAAAAGTTGTAAGGCAAGTAATATTTATCTGAAAGAACTAAAATATTCAAAAGCCAAACACTATGAAATACATGAATCGGAACGAAAAAGTAACCCAAAAATCCAGCCTAATCACCGACTCCTAAAACTGCAATACAATCAGCACTTTTCCCCGCAACTCGTTGTCCAGACGTAAATATGCGTGTCCGATCTCATTTCCCTTATTACGTGTAAAGTCGTCTCCCCCACGTGACTAACGACACGCACCCCGCTGACCGGAGAAGTGACGGAAATGAGAGATCGGGAGCCGAACCATTGAGCGGGGCACGAAAGACTGGCCACACTTCGGGGATCGTCTAGCATGGAGCACGCTGGCATTGTCACCACTTATTTCGTTTTCCTTTATTCAATCATCCCTTCAACAGGCTTTTTTGCGCCCACTTACAGGAGGGCTTCTACTCCTTCATATCCTCCCCCCCCACCCCGGAGCTACGGCTAATGCGGGAGCCCAATCCACTCCTGGTGATGCTGGGGACGACGCCCGCGGAACGGCACTGGAGATATTTTACTATGAGAAAACATATCGACAGTTCCGAGCAAGAACATCCTAAGTGTCAAATTTTTCGAAATTGAGAATTTTATACCATTCGACTCAGCTTGTCGAGCTGAGTCGAATGGTATAAAATCTCAACTTCGAAAAATTTGACACTTAGGATGTTCTTGCTCGGAATTGTCGATACTGAACACAGCAAAACACAATGTTCTACACACCAGCTCACCCTGTCACCCCAAATAACCCAGCTGACCGTGTAGGTACTATGCACACCGCACAGTACACACATTACCGACACCTAATCCACTGACCCGGTCACAGAGCTCGGAGAAGGTGCAGTCGGCCACCTGGCCGCACGTACGCTCAAACTGCACGTCTCGGCCGCGCACGTGCAGCAGCCGGGGCCGCACCACGTCCGTCTCGCGGGCGCAGAGCACCTTGAAGAGCCGGCGCAGGCCAGAGTCGGCGTCACCGTCACTCTTCCTGGCCGACACAGCAACGGAATACGCGTCAGTGCGCATATTTACACAGACTTACATAGACTTGTATAGAGGCTTGTATAGAGGAGGAGAAATGACGGATAGAAGGAGAAATGACGGAGAGAAGGAGAAATGACGATACCCGCGAATCTATTGGTCAATGGCTTATTGGGGAATGACGGTAGGCGGTCGCTAGTACGGCATGAAACTCAAACGATATTGATACCAACGATATTGGCAGGATGGATGCACTCAGCCTATCTAAATCAGTCACACCCGAAGCGGCACCACAAATAAAACATGTCCTCGTAATGCTGGCAATAATGTTTGTGACATTTCGTCCGAAGTAAAAGAAATGCAAACAAAGCGTCCAAAACAACTTAATCTTCGCAAATCATCACCAATCGACCCACTCAGCGGTCGGAGGATGGGACTCACAGGAAATAGGTTTTCTCCTGGCTGGCAGCTCCCATGAGCCGATAGTCGATTCCCGAGTCGAGGCACTCCACGTAGCAGTGCTCCTTGAGCACGGGGATGAAGGGCAGGAAGTTGCCGCGCTGCAGACCGTTCTTGTAGAGGTCGTCCGGCGGTCGGTTGCTCGTCGCCACCACAATCACGCCGTTGTAGAAGAGGGAGGTGAACAGTCGCTTCAGGATCATGGCGTCGGCAATGTCGGTCACCTGTTCTGGCACAGCGGAGGGAAAGGTGTCGTCAGTCAGGTGAGGTGATGTAGGAAGTGTATAGTACTGTGGTCTGTGTATAGTAAAAAACCATTGTTTGTCTACCAAAAAAAAAAAAAAAAAAAACAATATATATCAGTCATTCACAAATACAAACCCACTCAAGAAAATCACAGAAAAAAATCATGAAATGTCAGTCAGCACACATCCAAGGTCATCATTCTAGTTTCTCCGTCGTAAAGGCCGCACAAATCGACTTTCTACCCATCACCAAGCTGAGAATTATGAATCCTTCGCCACCACTGACCTGAAACTCGTCGAAGCAAATGAGCCACACCTCATCGGCGATGGCCTCGGCGACCGGTCGGATCGGGTCGAACGCGCGCGGCTTGGTGTCGCTGCTCTGAATCGCCGCGCGCTGTTTGGCCTCGTGGATTCTCCGGTGCACGTCCAGCATGAAGGCGTTGAAGTGCACGCGCCGCTTGTGTGGCGTGTCCACGCAGTCGTGGAACAGGTCCATCAGCATCGTCTTGCCGGTGCCGACGGTACCCCAGAGGTAGAGGCCGCGCGGCCGTCGACTTGACGACGCGCCCAGCGAGAAGAGCCGCGACAGGAGCGAGCGGCGCGGCGGCGAGTAGCCGTCCAGGCTGCGGTGAATCTGGTCGAGCCGCTTCACGATGGCCGCCTGGTACTCGTCGGCGTACAGGGAGCCGTCGGCCAGCCGGCGCTGGTACACGGCCAGGGGTCCGCCGGGCGCCGCCGCCGCCGACAGCAGTCGCGTCCCCAGTCGGCGGGAGGCCACTGCCGCCGCAGTGCCGCACACTGCCCGCTGCAGGGTCATTGCTGCAGTCCGCTGCCTCTCCCTGAATAGGAAACAGACCCATGTCAGGGGCAGCAGATGGCATCAAAGTGCAGCAGACAACATTTTGAATCGTAAATATTTTAGTGCTGGTTTTCATAAAAAATAACAGCTCATTAGATGGTAAACCATTTGAGTCCAAAATTCATTTGAATAGGTCTAATGCTAGGTCAAGGATATGTCAACTAAAAGTTACAATTTCAACATCACTAGGCAGGGGTGTAACTTTTGCTTTTGAGATGGGGGTGCACTTGGTGATGGGGGCGACCTTCAGTGAGGATAGGGGCGCATCCAAGGAGCATACATGGTGCATATCTCTCAACAGGCGCGCACACAGGATTTTTTAACGGGGGGGGGGGCACGACCTGCAAACTGGGGCCCTCCATGCCGAAGGACCACAGACCCCAGCCAAAAAAGTTCCCCAACGTGATTATATTTCGGTCGACTTGAAACTTAGCTTCTGTCGATACATGATAAAACAATTTCTTCAGTTCCCGTCCAATTTTCAAAGCATTAAATGCTCCATTTTTTGTTTACGCAGCATGTTTCATTCAAATACGATCCAGTGAGTCGTTATCACCATTTTAATGTCTCTCAATTTCGGTAAAATGCTTCGGTAAATGCTAAAATAAAATGTTTGTTGGTATATTTCGAAATTCAGACCTAAGAGTGATCACCATTTTGTGTTCCTCCAATTTAGTTTGAACACAGTCTGATGCTGCAAATGGGATTGCAGTTCAATTATATTAACCCAAGGCCCTCTATCCGGCGCACCGATAAACGGGTGTCAAGGCTTCTACTTATAGGTACAAGAACTTTTCAAATAAAATGAATATTTTTTCATGTGCAGTTTTAATTGTAAGAGCACTAAACACCCCAATGTTAGAGTCCAATGGTACAAAATTGGGTATTACAAAATGACATTAAATTCGTTTGCACGAATATCAATCAATCAAATTTATAACGAAATTGCATTTAGCTTTTTCATTCCGAAATTTTATAGAATCGGGGTGCCCTTTTTACGCTCGGCGACTGATGACACCCACTTTTGCTGGAATCACCTCTTTTATTGGGCGCCTTTCTTCTGCTGGGGTCGCCTCTCTCTTGCTGAGGTCACCCCTCTTCTGCTCGGCGGGACTTGCTTCTGATGGGCGCTCCTCTGCTGGGGTCTCACACTTTTCTGCTGGAGACTGACACTTCCCTTCCCGGGTATGCCCTATTTTTCTAGAGGCGTCCCTCTTCTGCCGGGCGAGCCCAACTTCTGCTTAAGTCGCTCGACCTTTTCTACTGAGGGCGCCCTTCTTACTCGGCGAGCCCAACTGCCGCTTGAGGTGTCCCATTTTTATTGGATGCGCCCCCTTCTGCGGGCAGCGCCCCTCTTTTGCGGGGCTGCCCCTCTTCTGCTGGAGGCGCCCTCGCCCATCTTCTGGTGGCGGCGCCCCTCTTCTGTTGAAACCGCCCCTCTTCTGCGGGTGCGTACTCGACTTCTGCTGAAGGTGCTCGGCAATGTCTGTTGGGGGCATTGCTCTTTTGCTGGGGAGCCCCTGTTCTGCTGGGGATGCCCCACTTCCGTCGGAGCCGCTGGGGACGCCCCGCCTCTGCTGGGGGCGCCCCCGGCCCCACTGCTGCTGGACGAACCCAACTTTTCCTCCAGGTGCCCCTTTTGTATTGGGGCGCCTCTATTCTTTAGGCATCCCTCTCCTGGTAGAGCGCCCCTTTCTGCTGGGGCGGCCCTATGCTGGGGGTACTCTTCTGCTGGGGGCGCCCCACTACTACTGGACGAGCCCAACTTTTGCTTGAGTAGCCCCAATTATATTGGAGTGCCTCTCTTCTTCTGGAAGCATCCCTCTTCTGGTGGGGCGCCCCCTTTCTGCTGGGTGGCCATTCCTGTGTTGAGGGCGCTCCTTTTCTGCTGGAGGCATCTCTCTTCTGGTGGGGCGCCGCCTTTCTGGTGGGGCGCCCCCTTTCTGCTGGGGTGCCCTTCTTCTGGTAGGGCGCGCCTCTGCTGGTGAGGCGCCCCTTTCTGCTGGGGTCGCCCGTATTCTACTGAGGGCGCTCTTCTACTGGGCGAATCCAAGTTCTGCTTGTGGGCCTCATTCATTCCTACTAGGGGCGCCTCTCCTCCGCTGGGGCGCCAGTCTTATGCTTGACGATCCCAACCTACGTTGGAGGTGCCCCACTTCTGCCTCGGGCGCTCCACTTTTGCTGAGAAAGTCCCGTTCTTGCCGGGGTGCCCCTTTCACCCATTTTTGGGGAGCGATACGACTGGACGCTTTCCAAGCCCGCAGGCAGCACGACGCCGGTCACGAGACGGAATGTAGCCGGGATATCACCCTCACCATCTGCTGCTCAAGAGCTTATCGGTGTCGGACAGCGTGTGGGGCGCCGCTTAGCCTATGGGGGTGCACTTTGACGTGATGGGGGTGCACTTTCAGGGGATGGGGGTGCACCTGCACCCCCATACATATAGAAAGTTACACCGCTGTCACTAGGCACTACTTTTACACTTAGACAGAGAAGAGTTGTTGGGCAGAGACCAGAGTTCAGCCGGAATACACTCAGAATGATAGACTGGGAAAAATCCACACAGAGGCAGATCCAGTTCAGAGTTTTTTTTGGGGGGGGGGGCAAACCATAATAATTTATTGATTCTTTCCATCCCTCGTCCATAGGCGTAATGTTAAAATTATGCCGTTTGGGGTCTGGGGAGGCATTCCCCCCCCCCCCCCCCCCCCCTGGATCCACCACTGAATCCACACACTGTGCTGGATGCCTGTGAAACTTATGTGCTGAAATTTTGCACCAGTGAATTAGCATTGAAATTATAATGTTTGTGCCTAGAGCTTCATGCTTCTTCTTTGAGCCAAAATTGAGTCACTTTAACATAAATACCAACAAAGGCTACTTAACCATGGAGTGTGCTCCTGGCCAGAACTTCTGGTCTAAAAAAAAAGTGGAGTTGTGTTCAGAGTGTCTCCGACGTGCAAGCTAGGATCCGTCCATCTAATTGAGAATTTTAATTGAGATCAGTGACTGCTCATTCCTCATTGGAGTTAGCAGCTTTCAAAACCACACGCTTTTTGAATGTATCACACTGTTGGGCAGATGTGTTGAATTTAGTGTGCTTAAATTGCATGTTATAACCAGGCTAGGGCTTCGGACTAGCCTTGAGGATGCTATTGCGTCAAAACATTAGTTGGCAGCCATGCACCATACCTCAACCTAATCAGCCATCACTCATCAGGGCATGTGGTTAAGCCAAATGTGGGCCAAAATATTCAGTACAATCCACCAGACATATTCGACACAGCATGTAGCTTTTTTCCAGTCCAGTTTCAGAACTTACAATTTCAAGAAATTGGAAAAAATGACATTTCCTAAGCTTCAGCTGCATATATGTAGGTATTATATGCTTAGCGCTTACCCGATTTATCGTCTATTATCTAACCAAATATCTCCTTAACAATACTGTCATTTTTCTAAAGAATTGTCTTTCATTTCTATTTGAATAAGCACACTGAAAGAATCATCTCTGATTCGATTTTTTATAATTTCAATTTCCACAAACTTGCATAAAAATCACCAAGCGTCATGATTGAATTAGTGGCTTCATAATTGTCTCTATTGTTTGCTTCCAAATTTGCAGCTTGAATGAAATCCTTCACTTTTGCCAAATGCCGTGTGCAAGTATAAGCATGGTATAAGTAAAGTAATCTTGGTGCATACGGGCGTCAAATCCCCAGTGTATATAAATACAAATCCCGATCAAATCCCAGCTCCCAAGTCCCACTCCCAACAGCAATTATGATTTTATTTGAGACCCTTTCATTCATTAAAAAAGATTTTTCGCTAAACACAGTAATTAAATGTATGTATTATTGTTCGGAGATTGGACGGTGTTTGCACCACTGGACTTTGGAGAAGAGCGCTTACGGTTCCCCTCCACACACATGCTGCAAGTTGCAACTGCCTTGCAGCAAATCGAATGTCTTTTCCAAGGCAAGGGCGACCTCACCACCTTTCTGCACACATTGATATGATATAGCCGACGACGTAGAAACTAGAACTACCACATTTTCCCGTGTTTTCGAGAATGGAAAATAGGCTGTCACGAGCGCCACTTCAGTCAGGGTCCTGGACCTGTTTCGACGAAACAGTTCAGGGATCAGGACGCGACTACAGCTATTTGAAATATCACCACCCACCAGCTACCCTCTCTCCTCCCAAAGCTGGTGTAGCGCCTCTCGGACACGAGCATAACAAAGCGAAACCAGACAGTTACGATTGTATTGTATGCATTCAGGCAAATCGGTCAGTGGATATTCGGGCTTTGACGAGCAGGTGGGCGGCAAACCATGCAATCAAAGTGGGATGAGAAAAGAAAAGTTGGCCGGCAATTTCGGAATTCTTGGCCAATGAAAAAGTCACAACGATTCAGGATCAGCGCCGGAACACTTGGGTGCGCCGGCCCGTTGCCTGCACTGAACATTGTACAGACCAGCCCCGGGTCCCGGCTCGAACAAGAAGCACGCCGCGTATACTTACACAGACCTCAAGGCAATTAGGAGAGCGCCCGGGACCGGCGGGCACCCGGCGTGACCGCCCACCGGGGGCCAAGGCAAAACAAGGTCCAAACGACGCACCGCGCTAACTTAGAGTACACAACAGACTGGTTCTACGAGGTATAAAGACACAGTTTCAAAATACGATGATCGGTGACCAGATTCGATAGGGCTATCTCACTGATCTTTCTCTCTCTCTCAGACACACTCGCGCTGCTCGGCACACAGTCACACGGCGTCCGGCCGGCCCGCCACCAGCGCGGCCCGGCGGCCGGCCGCGGCGGCGGGCCCTCGGCTGAGATCAGCTGTGTCCCGGCCGGCGGCGTCCCGGGTCGCCCTGGCACCCCGTATACAGCCAATGGAAAGTGATAACACGCGTGTGCAGAGGAGCCGAGGCCGGTCGGCCGTGTCGGACGTCCGGCTCGCTCGGCGCGCGATTGTACTGGTGCAAGTCTTGAGGCCGGCCGGCCGCTCAGAGCAGCTTCTCGCCCATCCAGCCGCCGTCGCTGGGACTGCCCAGGCGGAGGTCACAGAGTGAGGCGGCGGCGGTGGCGGCCAGCGCTGCCGGCCGCTCGGCCTGCAACAGGCGGCAGCCGGGTCAGCGCGCGCGCCCGCCGGCCGCCAAAGGCACCGAGACACGCAGTCGGACCCACACTCGCGGCGCCGCTCCCTCTCACACACAGCTCGGCATCGTATGTACACACAGCGGCGGCTGCGCCCCTGCGGCTCTGCAGCACCCAGCCCGGCTCCGGAACAGTGGCCGTCCCGGCGGCCCCGAGCACACCGACTCCCCACAGCGGTCCCCGCTCGCGGGACGGAATCATGACCCAACCAGGCACGTGCCGCATGCAACGACCACACCGAAAGGGAGAATGGTCCGACGCACCAGGACAGTAAATAGGCTACATCAGGCACACCCCAGCCAGTACAACGAGGAATTACGAAGGGGTGGCTGCTAGGCACGTGACAAAAGATCGAAGGGAGTCAACAACGCAACCTATGGTAGATAGATTGCAGATATTCTGTAGATCAAGTTGACATAAAACTAAGCATTCGTCTACGCTGTGGATACAGCAAATATGGAGACAGTTCAGCAAAGTATCTCATGCAGTCGCGATCTCCAATAAATAAGTGCTAGAGGAAGCAGACCCAATTCAGTCATGCAAACATGAAATAATCTACGAAAAAGAAAGATACATTACAGAAGAGAATAACAATTTCTCAAGTCTGCTTTCCCACCAACAGCTGATCCCGAAGAGACTCCCATTCAGAGCAATCTACGCATCTCCCAAGGGCTGGTCGACATCCCTCGGTGTCTTTTCCCACGGGCCGAACAAGCACCCCGGACATAGAAAGACTGCCACTACGCCCGCTAGCGGCAGCGCCGGACCCAGTCCGGCTTGGTCGGTCGGCCGCCGCGCGGCGCGCGCGCAAGCAGGGTCTCGGGCACACTCAGCAGGCGCCGTACACACGTGCTACACCCTGCGGCTGCTCCCTTACGGCCGAGAGCTCTGTCGGCGGCTGTTCCGGCGCACCGGGCGGCACTCTGCAACACAGCACCGGCGCCGGTCAGACGTCAGTTGGCGGAGGGGAGCGGGGCGCAGGAACGCAGGGGCGCCGGTCAGACGCCAGTTGGCGGAGGGGAGCGGGACGCAGGAAGGCAGGGGCGCCGGTCAGCAGTCAGTCGGCGGAGAGGGGTGGGACGAAGCTGGTACGCTGGGGCGCCGGCGCCGGTCAGACGCCAGTTGGCGGAGAGGGGTGGGACGCAGGAACGCAGGGGCGCCGGTCAGACGCCAGTCGGCGGAGGGGAGCGAGGCGCAGGTGCGCCGGCGCCGGTCAGACGCCAGTTGGCGGAGGGGAGCGGGGCGCAGGAACGCAGGGCGACAGCCGGGAGACGGCACCGCCCAGTGGATGTTTAACACTCGGTAAAATGCATGGTACACACAGCCATAACGACACAACTATGAAGGCAGATGCTTTAGCGGCAGCTACATATATACAATAAAATATCGGAAAACTATCTCGTTTTGATTTCCTAATCAGGCCAGAATCCCGATTAATGGTGTTTGGAGCGCAATGTAATATGCATCACAGCCCAGTAATCCTCCAAAACTTCTGAATACTGTTATCATTTGGTAGTGCAATATGACGATACTGTCTCAGTGCAACCTTTATAGCTAGCATGTCAGGATAATATCGTCGCTGGTTGCTATGCCTCCAATATCCACCTAAAAAGCTAGACAAGCTGCTCAAAACCGGCGCAGAGCTAATAGCGTCCTCTCAAGTACACTAACGTCAGAGCAGCAAGAAAATACTCGAACGGCCGCTATCGCACCCATGGGATTCCCCTTGGCGACGGATAACGACCCATCATTGTATGGAATGTACCAACTGAACCGTCCGCACTTCACACTCGACACTCAACAGTCAAGCGCATGAGTCACGGAGATCACAAGATCTCCCTCTCAGCCACTTGAAACACCCAGTCCTTTGACCACCCGCGTCTCCGCCCGACCCTCCCCGACCCGACTATGCGGGCCGGAACTCACGGTTGCCGGCCGACGTGCGCCGGCACTGAGCGTCAGTTGGGCAGGTCGTCGGACACAAACTTCTTCAGCCGCTCCAGGTACTGGCCGTGTACCTCGATATCATTGTGGCCGGCCCCCTGGCGACGGGTGGGGGGTAAGTATAGGTCGGCGGACGGTCAGCCCCGTACGGGTCAGCGGGTGGTCAGCACATACGGGTCATACAGACAGCTGGGAGCCTATGCCCGCACGTCAGACCCGGACGGCGGACCTGGTGCCAATGGGGATACACATTATGCATGAGGCAGTTATTTATGCACCATGCAATTTTATACACACGGAGGCCAGAGAAAATGAGGTGTTAACGTGAAGTCCGTCGAATATAAGGGCCACACACGATCGACGGGGCATTCATTGTTATCGACTAGTCATTTAACAATCGAATGTTTGCTGAGATAGGCTCCCAATCTGACTCAGCCACAGTTGCCTCTATAGTAGTCTATCCCACGGCCGATATCAGAGATATGGCGCCTGTCTCCGCCCTTTGACCTGTCAGCAATCTGCTGTCGGGGGTCAGAGTGCCGTCTGGGGCAGACCGGAGTCTCACCTCGACCCAGAGCGGCTCGACGGCGCGCGGACACTTGGCGTGGATGGCCAGGCCGTGTGAAAAGTCGATCACCTCATCCTCCGTGCCGTGAATCACCAGCACCGGAGACTTGATCTTCGGCGCCTTGTCGATACTGAAACGCCAAAAGGAACGTCGTCACGGTGCAAGGATTTACGGGAAGTTTGCGCGTTGTCATAGCAACGCTGATAGGCGCAGCTACAAACAACACAGAAATACAGATCCAGCTTGCTGGAGTTCCAATTATTGCAGAACGGTCGACACAACAAAATTGTGCACATGTTTGCACCGCTGTGTTTATGTGAAAGCCGACTGGTTTTTCAACCGGAAAAATCATGCCCCGGTCATTGAATCACGGCCGGTCGTGCAGTTTTGGTGTGCACCGCTCGGTTTGGGGAAGACGGACAGAGACACATACAGCTAACGGTGCCCCGAAACCGGCCCGGCGGCAAACTTCCGCGAGCGGCGCCCGGACCGTGCTGGGCCGAGTGCCGCGCCTGCAGACCACCCCCGGCCCCACACGATGAAAACCAGTTGACAAGCGGTCAGATCAGAGCCGGCCGCGGCGCTGAGGCGCTGGCCGGATCGGGCCGGCCGCGGCGCTCAGGCACCGGCCAGATCAGACCGGGTAACACATGCAATGCTCGACTTACCGTCGCTACGTCAAGAGATGCAGCTTATCTCTCCAAGCCGGATGAAGTCGACACGGAATGAGGAGATTTAATATCGCCGCAAACCAAAAGTAAGATGAAATATCAGAGTTCACTCGGCACGATATTGTCCGATAAATATGGTACCTCACTACGCTAATTGTGTAATCCTTCAACATCAGCTCGTCTTTCAAACAGTGTAACCAAGAGGGTAACTTTACAGTAACCTAACTCAGAAATATGTGTCGAGAACGTCATTTTAACACCGCGCTGTGCTTCAAAAGCACCCTCACTCACTTGGGGAAGGCGTCGAAGAACCAGGTGCGCTGCGTCTTGAACGCCACGCGCATGCCGGACATGAGCGGCGAGTGGAGCACCACGCCGCCGAACTCGTGTCGCGACGCCAGGTCGACGGTGGGCACCGTACCGATGCTCTGACCGTAGAGGATCACAGACTCGGGCGGCACGCCGTACCGACTGTGCAGCGCCAGCCACGCCGCCTCGATGTCGGCGTACAGGTTCTTCTCGGACGGCCGGCCGGTGCCGTCACCGTATCCCGAGTAGTCGTAGCTGAACACGTTGCAGTTGATGCGCGAGCCCAGCCCCAGGTAGAAACTGCTCATCTGACCCAGGTCCACGGCGTTCCCGTGTGAGAACAGCACTGTGTACTTGGCGTTGGGGCAGCACTTAATGTACATGCAGGCGATGCGGTTGCCCTTGCTGGTGCGCGTGTAGAACGCCTCCATGGCCTCCTTCTCCTTGTCTGTGTAGAGCCAGTCGGCTCGCTCTGTGAGGATGATGTTGTGCTTGTCGCCCGTCTCGTCGGCCATCAGACTGTAGGTGGCCTCGGGCGGCAGGAACGCCAGCTTTCCGGCGATCCGTGACGGGCACGGTGGACAGCAGAACAGGCAGCACAGCTCGGTCAGACTGAGACCGTTCATGGCTGGGGCGGGGCCGGCCGGACGGGGCCGAGCTGCGGACACAGAGAGGAGAGGCCCGTCAGCTGAGACATGGGCGACAGGCTGAACACATCAGCACAACAGAGGCGGTGCCTGTCACCGGAGACATCGAAAGGTGAGCTACATACAGCAATTACCTATCGAGCCACAGTAAAACGAGGTAAACTTGCCTTTGGGCATTTAGGTGTCATACACCCAGACAAACGCTTGATATCTGACACTGGGTATCCTTTCACTCACATAAGTTGATTCCAGTATTGGGCCATGATTTAACCCTCGCATGTGTAGGGGGGGGGGGGGGGGTCGGATGGACCCCCCCCCATGGTTTTTCGCGAATAACTCGCGTAAAAAGCGGCCGATCGCGACGAAACTTTCAGTACCCTCGCATTGATCAATTTTACACCTACCCTGAAAATTTCATGACCCTGACCCAAATGACCTTTGACCTCTTTTCCGAGACCATGTTTGGCCGGAATCGCGATTTCGCGTATGTCGGCTCGCACTAGCCGCGTGTTTGCAAGCTTTTCGTGGTTTCAAACGTTCCAACATGTGATTTGATGTTACTGCCGTGTGTGTCAAGGTCACCTGAAGGTCAGGTCAGGTCATTGACCTTTGGTGACCTCGGGTGACCTCGGGTCACTTTTTCGAGTTGTACATGTTTCTAGGCTAGTTTTTGGAGCTGAATTCGAATTTAGCAACCATTTGAACATTTACGAAGCAGTTTTGGTGACTTCGTAACATGTTACGAAGCTGTCAGAGGCGGTTGACACGTACTACGAATACCCGTCACGACGCCTACTGGTTGACTTGACCTGACCTGACCCGACCTGGTCTAAATGCTTCAAGACATCATCTGTGATCAAAACTAACACGATATTCGTGATCAGCACCCCGAAAACCCCTTAGCAGCCACACTTTACGACTTTCTAACAGGTCCCGATTTTCCCGACTTTGGGTCATTGACCTGACCTGGAAGGTCAATCAATGACCTAGGACCTTAAAATTGGGTATCATCGGCTTCCTCTCGTCACGGGCAACACGCTCGTTTTTTCCGCGAAGCTCTAGCTCGATCAGGGGCCAAACGGCAAGGGGGGGGGTCCAACCGACCCCCCCCCCCCCCCCTACACATTAGAAGCTGGCAAACGCCGCACACATGCGAGGGTTAAGGATTCAGGATTGGGTGATGTCAGCAGTCAACTTGACCAATATCAATTTGTAATACCATAAATTAAGGTATATTCCTTTCCAAAATTTGGCTTAATTATAAGGATACAGATAATATGGAGCAGTAAATATGACAGGGCATGTCCTCTACACAGTCCATACTTCCTGCAATGCATTATCAATCAAAACATATTTCATGGGCATGGGAGCACTTGAGCATCCAGATAAAATGTGAAAATTTGCCCCTGACCTATCCGATTACATCCACCCAAATGCAGGTGCCTCTGTTCATAAAACTAAAAATGAGCTCCAGATGCTTTGCAAGGATAACTTTTTTCAATCCTGTTTTTCCATGACCTGAAACTAAAAATGACGCTTCATCATATAGATACAGCTGCAGATATCATATTACCAAGTGACAGGCAGGATGACCTGACCAAGCCTAATCTAACCTAACCCAGCCTAATCTAACCATTAAAGGGACTATCCCACCTTCTAAAATGTTGTTAAAACCAGTTAAATTGTGCCCGACTTTATAGATTGGATGACCAGGAACACGGTTCTGGCATTTATTTTTCATTAAACATCTATGGCTTCCCATATTCCAAACACAAACTTTCAAATATGTGACGTCACAGCCCAAAATTACCTCCTTCCCCAGGCCACATTACTGTCATAAAGCTGATTCTTTTTACTCTGTAGGCACCACGACAAAGTTCAGACCAAGTTTTAAGCGATTTTTCAACGAACAAACCCATTTAAATCAGAATGACTAAACGAGGTGACGTCACACTAACGGTCGTTCCATGTTGAAGATAGGGCCTTGCACAAGGCCCATTTTCAAATGAAGGGAACAAATTTCTTCAACACCAAGAGGCCGCGGGGGTTGCAACCTAGATAGATAGTGGTTTCTGAACCTCGCCGCCAACTTGGCTATCTCAACTCAAACCCCATGTTAAAGGGACACTCCCACCTTAACATTAGTTTTGAGTTGAGATAGCCAAATTGGTGGCCATGGCCTGCAAATACCGGTTTGGGCACTCACAACATCGACAAATGCTTTAATTCGGAGATATGAAATTTCAAACTTGCAGTTTTCGGATTCTAAGGGGCTATTGCATTGGTATGCCCCCTTAGAATTTGTGACGTCAGCGGAGATCTAACGATTTTTAAATCTTTTACTAAAACGTTTGGTAGCACGCGGTGGTATATGCTGCTTTGCGCGCAACAAATGCCGCACTTTCAAATAAAGTCGCTAGGAACAGCGGAGATCCCAAAAAGTAAACAAAAGTAAAAGTCTAATATCTTGAAAACCGGTGAATATTTTTCGATGAAATTTGGTAGATATTCGTTTTCGCTCTTTCTGAACCGAGCGACATCACTTTCGTGCCAATTCATTAACTCTTTTGAAGGTGGGAGGGTCCCCTTAAAGGTGGGATAGTCCCTTTAACCAACCTAGCCTTACCTAACCCAGCCTAACCCAACTGAACCTAGCCTTCACCTCCACCTACCTAACACCTCCTAAAACCTTGGCTGAGCTCAGTTAGATCAGATAAGGTTGCATCAGGTGACCTAACCTCACTGGACTGTTGGCTGGTATTTGGTCTACTTGCAAGCATCATGATCATTTTATCATTAAAATAAAAGGAGACAGGGAAAAATATATTGAGCAATGTTTGCACCTCAGTTTTAGCAAAACACTTCTGTTTCCTGGTAAATTAAAAGATCACTGATGAAATCTTGTGTACCTAACAGATGAGAGCTCTCTCAGGTCAAATTGCTGATATTATGTGCTATCCTAAATAAGAAGAATAGCAGCAAATAATGCATTCCAGGAAAATTTAAATATCAATGTTGGATCAAAAGTACCAATGATCTTACATGCTATTGTAGGATCACTATCAATAAATTAACAATAACAGAGTCCCAGAGATACACAGATGCATACACAACTCTGTTGGTTGGTACCGATACAGTGTCTTTTGTCATTTTCCCTGGTAAAGTGGGCAGCACTTGTTAGAATACAGAACAACAGCCAATGGATTTTACCCGGCATATTTGATGAAACAAGCATTTAAATGGAATTTGGCAACCAAATTTGCCACTTATTTTTAGTGGCTGTTAACATAAGGCCTGTTCCAATTTTGCTGACATGGCTGTTCAGGGAATGGTTGTGTTGTGTCTTCCATGCATTATGGCACCAATAGTTGGTGCAGTGACCAAACCCAGTCCCAGAGTCAAGAAACAGATGACATAACACTGTCACATTAATGCCATTGCCTGGCTAGACCAATCAGTTACTTTCAACAAACTGCTGCTCATCATTGCTGTTTTAACAGAAAGACCTGAAATATCAATGAATAACTTTGTTGATGCTGTTCTGTTGCTTCTGGTAAGCTGGCAAAGACCGAGACTGCTCGGAACTTTGGTACCTAAAATATGTTTGAAAAACTGAGTAAGAGTCCAAGTGCCCATTACCTTGCAAGTAAGCAAAAAACAATTATGTTAAAAGGCCATGGGGAAAAAGAGAATTCGGCAAAATTACTTGTCAAGAAACAAGAAACTTGCCACTAGATCAGAATATTCTATGAATTTCACCATTGCCTTACAGTTCGAGTAAAGTATCAAAAGTATAACTTAAAACTGGGTGCCTGATCCGGATGTAGTCGCGGGGCATGATACAGCTGCAAGTGTCCCTGAATTACTAAAAAAAAAACTTAATACTAAATTTATGCAGGTATAGCTTACATAATTTAATAATTAGCAATCTACAATAATTTTAGATCTTATAAAAAAAGGCCACAATGTGTTGCAATCTCAAAATTGACACGCCCTCCATTTACCTCCCCTGAACGTCCACCCTTAAAAGGTGAAATCAAAGGCTAATACACAAACAAAAACATAAAAACTCACCTGGCTTACCGAGCAGATGAATTTAATACACTAATGACAAAATATAACACCCACAAGCAAAGTGTGAAAACTACAGTTCAACTCTCGAATTCAATGATAAAACTGAAGTATGGGACTTAATCACTTTAATAAAGAGTATCCACAAGCATTTTGACCGGGTATTATACCCAAAACTCAACAAAAATCGCCAACAAGAACCCCTCACACAAACGCGAATAATTTTTACAGGCCCTTCAACTTCCGAGGAAATGATTGCTTGCTGTAACTGCAGTCATTCTTATGACGTCATGTCAATCTTGAGATTCAATTGGCTGAATTTTGTATACGCTTCCTTCGATTTTTAAACATTCACCGCAGAAACTGACAATATACCCACCATTTCTTTAAATTGATAACTTCTATGATATTTTTACATCTAAATCAAGCAAAACTAAATTTCATTTTTTGAAAAAAGCCAGAAAGTTTCAAAACTTGCAATTATTTTGAAACCTATAACGTCATCAATTCGAACAAATGAGCAAGATGCGATCTGCTCTTTCGCATTATCTTTGTGTTATGCGAATATCGTTACAAACTTGGCGCACTCAAGAACTGCCTGAGGCGGTATGAGTAAAAATAGAGCTGCAGGATTTCTGCATGATCCAGGCCGCACGGCACATTGGGCATTGGGACGCACACCAGTCGGAATTCACTCAACTCAATTCGACATTCGAATAAAAACCAAAATGAAGAACTGCAAGACAAAGGTGCTGAAGGTGCTGCAAGACAACTTTAATCATATTTTATCTCGAGAAGTCTCAACTGACCATTTGTACCACGGTCGTTTCGCAGTATATACCTACCTACCCCCAGTAAACATGCCGACGTCGGCCCGACGTCGGCCGACGTCGGGGTGACGTCGGCTACTCGGCATCGGCATGCCGACGTCGGCCCGACGTCGGTCCAACCTCGGCACGACGTCGGCTGGATATCGGATGTGCCCGCATGTTCCGACGTCCAGCCGAGGTCCAGCCGATGTCGGGCCGACGTCGGACCGAGATCAATTGCTGAGGTCCAGCCGACGTCGGGCCGACGTCGGGGCGACGTCGGACCGACATCGGCCGCTGTTTTGACCGTTAAAATAATATAAAATACATGTTTCATGTTTCATAAAGAGCTTCTGTATTCAAAATATCCTCAGGAAACTCAAATCTTCCTCCACGTCGCAACCCCCTGATCCGGACGGGAAACTTAATCCCATTTGGGATTGCCCGTAAGCCGAGCTCGCCCGTAGCCGGGTGCGGTGAGTGCTTGGGGGCTGCTCGGCCTATCCTTTGGTCAGGCTCAGCCCCGGCAACTCACCAGGGCCGGGCCCAGTTCATATAGAAAGGCCAGTCGGTGTCACTTTGCCAAAGTGCCACTTATCAAAGGGACACTTTGGGAAACGTTGGTGCAGGTGTGTAAGAGTGGCTATATGAATCCATTGTGGGGTCGCCCTTTCCAATAAGTGTCACGTAACAGCAATGGGACCAGGGACTCTATATATGAACTGGACCCAGGGTGCTCACCAAGAAGACCAATGTCTCCATCCTTGATCCTTCCGGCTCTGAAATGGTCTTGTCAGACCGAAAGGGCATAACCCAACAAAACAAACCGTTTTCGTTAGCTGGCTGCGTGGTGTAGTGGTTAGCGCACTAACCTCGCGTACGCATGACACAGGGTTCGAATCACATCGCCGGCTGATGCTTTTGGCGTGTTGTCCCAGTAAACATGCCGACGTCGGCGACTGGGGGGCTGGAATCCCGCCGCCGGTTGATATTTTTGGCGCGTTGTCCCAATAAACATGCCATTGCCGACGTCGGCCCCGTCGGTCCAACGACAAACGATCTCGTCAACCTCGGCAAACGATCTCGGCCCGACATCGGCTCGACGTCGGCTGGACTTCGGCTCGACGTCGGAACATGCGGGCATATCCGACGTCCAGCCGATGTCGGGCCGAGGTTGAACCGACGTTGGGCCGACGTCGTCATGTTTACTGGGATAGTACCTACCTAGGTACCCTTTTTCAGAAGGGCTGTCCGTCAGAAGCCGGGGCTCTGACTTCCTGCGGGTCCAAAGGGTCAAGCGTGGGACGGATAGGACCTAGTGCTTATCCCACCAGCGTATTCCGTATTGTCGTTCTCAGTGAATTTTGAATTAAGGCCAAATAGGGTCAGGGGCGCGGGAACTAGGTACTTTCAGTCGGGGGGGGGGGCACACCATAATAAAGATCAACATAGGGGTACCCCCAAATCTAGTTTTCTCGCCGGTTTTAGGCCACTTATTTTTCATCCCTTGGCCTTTTCAACAAAAAAAGAAAACATTTGCAAAAAGTGCGGTATTCCGTCTCAAAGTTGTGGGGGCAACGCCCCCACGGCCCCAGAGTTAGGGGGAGGCTGCCCCCCCCCCCCGGTTCCCGCGTCTATAAATAGGGTCCGGTTGTTGCCAAGATTAGTACGAATGTATCAGTAGCAGGGTTGTGCTCGACTCATGAGTCGAGTCAGAAATTTGACTCAACTCTGACTCAAATGAGTCAGGTTTGAGTCGAGTCGGATAAAATGTTGAGCTGTTGAGTTGAGTCAGAGTTGAGTCGGACAAAAATATTAAGGTGTTGAGTTGAGTCAGAGTTGAGTCAGTAAAATAACTTTTGACATTGAGTTGAGTCAAAAACATTTAGGAACATGAGTCAGCTGAGTCATCTTTCTAGAAACAATATACATATAAGCTTTTCATCCCCCCTTAACAACTTAACAACAACTGCTGACAACTTAAAGGGACCCTCCCACCTTCAAAAAAGTTAATGAATTGGCATGAAAGTGATGTCGCTCGGTTCAGAAAGAGCAAAAATGAATATCTACCAAATTTCATCGAAAAATATTCACCGGTTTTCAAGATATTAGACTTTCACTTTTGTTTACTTTTTGGGATCTCCGCTGTTTCTAGCGACTTTATTTTAGAAGTGCGGCGTTTGCGGCAGTTGTTGCGCGCAAATAGCATATACCACCGCGTGCTACAAAACGTTTTAGTCAAACATTTAAAAATCGTTAGATCTCCGCTGACGTCACAAATTCTAAGGGGGCATACCAATGCATTAGCCCCTTAGAATCCGAAAACTGCAAGTTTGAAATTCCATATCTCCGAATTAAAGCATTTTTCGATGTTGTGAATGCCCAAACCGGTATTTTCAGGCCATGGCCACCAATTTGGCTATCTCAACTCAAAACTAATGTTAAGGTGGGAGTGTCCCTTTAACTAACAACTGCTGCCGGTTTTTCACCCCCCCCCCCGCTCAACAGATTTTTTTATCTGAGTCAATGTTGAGTCAACATACTTGACTCAACAAAAAATTTGAGTCAAGTTTGAGTCAACTCATATTTTCATTGAGCCGCTTGAGTCATGAGTCGAGTCAAGGGAAAAAATCAGCTCCTTGTTTGAGTCAGAGTTGAGTCAGGGCCTTCTGAAGTTGAATGATGAGTCGAGTCGGCAAACTTTTTTGAGTCGAGCACAACCCTGATCAGTAGGTAGGACGAGGACTACCTACCTCTTTAGCAGGTCCGGTTCTTGGGTAAACTTCAGAAATCGTGCCTCAATCTGGCACGGCAGGGGGCGGAACCTGGGCAGGCCTGGCAGTTAGTTTTAGGTCGCCCACGGGTGTCGATTTGCGCCGAGTTGGGGGTGCCCGGGCGCAGCAACTCCGCCACCGCTCTAGCGCTGACCTTGACCCGCGCCGTCTGTTGCAACTCCAAAGCCAAGCTAGTCGAGCCGGCGTGGAATTTGGAGAGCTTGGGCACCCCCATCTTGGCAGAAATCGACACGCATGGCGGCATGAGGTCACCGCAGCTCAGGGCGAGTTTCGCCCGTTGAATTGAGCTACATAGCGCCTCACGAAAAAAAAGAGTGTGTGCGCTGTTATGAGACGCAGCGATTGGTAGGCATCCAGACTGGTTTTTGATTCATCTTTTTTGGATCGATTCAATCATTGATTCATTTGATTTTTGTTTGATTCAATCACCGTTTGATTCCTTCAAAAAATTTGGTGAATCGATTCCTTTTGATTCAGAGAATCAAAAAACAATAAAAGGAATGATTCACGTTTGATTCAGCCAATTTTTTTTGAATGATTCTTTTTTTGATTCAATTAAAAAATAAAATATACAAAATATCAGGAATAGTATTGTATTTGTTATGTTCTGTTTGTTGTCATGTAATGGCAGTAGTGTTAATATTTGTTGATAATGAACTATGTTCGTTCACTTCAATTTTTTTAAGTTCATGAATCATTAATTTTTTTTATTCAATCAACCCTGATTCCCAATGCGTTTGATTCAATCATGGCTTGTGAATCAAACAATCCTGACGGTGAATCAAACCTTTTTAACAAATTTTGTTTGATTCAATCCAATCGATTCAATCACAGATGAATCAAACACCAGTCTGTAGGTATCCGAGTTTAAGGTCTTCTGTTAACCGGCAACCTCTGAGGTTAGGCCAAGTGCCCAAAAACTCGTTTTAATGGTCAATAGCCTCCAAAAAAATGGTCGCAGAGCCGCAACTTTGACACTATCGTGTTTGTTTTGCTCAGGCGCGTCGAATGATATACTTTTTGTTCGGGTAACGGGTCAAAGTCAAGGTAAGAGCCAATAAGGTCAATAAGCTGGTCGAAAGAGGTCACAAATATAGCATATATTCGATTCGGCATGTCTTCCCGAATCAATTGGTGACTTTCGGCGACTCGCTAACTCACTGTGATCGCCATTCGGGAGTTATTGACGAGGCCTTAGGGAACTCATAAATGGCGTCACGCAAGGTCAAAGATGCAAAAGTCAAACGTCGAACCTTGCTAGGAAAGCATTAATCCTCGCCGGACCTATTGGTTTTCTACATACCCGAGGAGGGGGGGGCGGGTACGACCCCCCCCCCTCGCCGTTTCGCCCCTGGTGGAGCTAGCGCGTCGCGCAAAAAAGAGCGTGTGCGCCGTTACGAGACACAAAGGTTGATACCCGATTTTAAAGCCCTAGGTCAACCGGTGACCTCTGAGGTCAGGTCAAGTGCCCCAAGGTACGGTTCCGTGTTTAGTGAATAACTTCGGAAAAACGGCCGCAGAGCCGCGATTTTGGCAACATCGTGTTCGTCTCCCTCACGCGCGTCGAATGATATACTTTTTGTTTGGGTGAGGTCAACTTAGGGTGTTGACCACGGGTCACGGTCAGGTCAGCACCCCCAGGTCACGAAATCGGTCGAAAGAGGTCATGTCTCATATCTTTCGATTCGACAGGTTTTCGTGAGTCCATTGGTGGCTTTCCCAACTCGCTAACTCAATTTGATCGGGAGCTATTGACGAAAA